GAGGTGAGAATCCGGGGTCTTTGCTGGGACCAGCTCAGGCCCCAGTCGGACAGGCCACCTCTTCGGGGTGGGGGTTGCTCACGCGGTGAATCCCCCAGACACTCTAGCTGGTTCTTCTTTTCAGCGTGATTGACCCCTGAGTAAGAGCCTTGAACGCTGGAGACCGTCTGTGCCCCTGCTCGGGGAGGGGTGGGGGGGGCGGGGGACAGGCCGAGAAGCAGGGAGCACAGGCTCCTGGCCTCTGGCCTCTGGGGACAGGTGGACTGTGTTCAAAAAGGAACTTATTCCACCTTTGGGCCCTCATGGGAGTTGTTTGTATTTTTTTTCTCTCCCTCTCTCTTTTTCCTCCTCTCTCTCCTTCAACCTCCCCCTCTCCTCCCCCCCTCCCCCCCCTCCCCCCCAGCCTCCGAAAGAATTTAATCTGCTGGACAACAAACAATACTGTTATAAAACTTTGAAAACAAGAGGGCGAGGCCTCCCTCCCTGACAGGGAGAAGGGCATGCCGGGTAATGACGAGGGAGCCTGCCAGGCCACGGTGGAGCTGGGCAAGGGCCCAGTTGGCTGCGTACCTGGGTGCCTGCCCCCGTCTAGCCCACCAACCAGCCGTGCCATCCCCAGTCCGGAGGGGAAGGAGCCGAGAGGAAACGGGGGGCAGAGAAGCGCTCGGAAAGGGGAAGTTGTACGTGTCCCCGGTTCTCTGATCTGATGGGAATGCACTAGACTGTGAAACTTCCTCCTCCACCCCCCTCCCCCCTCCCTCCCTCCACCCCCCTCCTGCCTCCTCCCACCACTCACTGTTCCAGGTTCTGAGACTGGCAGGCAGAGGCCCTGATAGCAGAACGAGGCTGGCCCGGCAGCGTGGGCACAGCCAGCAGCCCCGCCAGCGTCAGGGGACACGGGAGAGGAAGGTGCTGGGGGTTGGCTTTGGACTCTGGACCTACCCCCCTGTATGCCCGCCCTCCCTCGCTCCCTCCCGAGAGGGAAGTGGGACCGTGTCCCAGGGTGTGCCCCGTCCATGTGCTCAGCCAGGTGTGCGCCCAGGTACCGGGCAGACCCGCCACGCGGAGGTTAGTGGGTACACCGGGCTTCCAGGAGCCGCCGGGGCCTGTGTGACTTGGGGAGGGCCCCGTGGGGACCGGAGCACCCTCTCCCGGCGGCAGGCCTGGGGACGCCGTGTCTGCTGCTGACTCTGCCCGGGGAGGTGGGAGGCAGGGTCCTGGCCTCTCTCCCTGGACCCCCAGAGTTAGGTCCCTCCTGAGTCCCCCCTGGACTGGGTCTGGGACACCCTTGGGCAGCTTTCCTCTGGATCCACGTGGGCGGGGACCTGGGAACAGAGCGGTGGGCACTGTGTGTGTGTACCAGGCCGTGGGCACGCACCCTCTTCCTCCTGTGGGAAGCCACAGCTCCGGGCTGTGCCCATCCTCCAAGGCCCCCGGCTGGGCGCTTCCCATTCCATCCCGCCTCCCTCCTTCTGCTCCCTGCCGCCTGCCTCCTGCTGCCCCCCACGCCCACTGTGCCCAAGGGCCGGCAGGGGAGCCATGAGGTGTCCTCCTTCCCTCCCAGCCTGCCCGCCGAGGGGCCCCTGCCCTGGACCGAGTGGGTGTCCAGGAGGCAGGAGGGGACAGAGTGCCTCCCTGTGGGAAGCACCGCCCGCCCAGGAGCGTGGGCTTCCATAGCCCGGCCTCCGGGGAGGCCAGCAGTGCTGAGGCTGGGCCTCCAATCGTGAGGAGGCTGTGGCTCCTCGCCCTGATGCCCCAGCAGGCATTGCGGGGCTCTGTGGGTCTGGAGCATGGTATTCCTGCTTGGGGGTCTGGGTTGTTCTGGCTTGGGGACCTGGGTTATTCCTGCTTGGTGATCTGGGGTATTCCAGCTTGGGGACCTGGGGCCTGGGAAGCATGGTGGTCCCTGGCTGCTGAGCCCTCTTTTTGGGGGACCACGTGCCCCAGACCTCCATGCTGCCCTCCACGTTGCCAGGCCCCCGTGCCCCTGCCCTTCCTTTCGCTCCCCTTTCCTCTGATTCATTAACCACAGCGTGTTGGCAGAGGCCTTGCCCTGACAGCTCAAGACAGAGTGTCCAGGACACCACTGGGCCGGGCGGGAGCAGGGAGTGACAGGAAGCGGGCCGGGCCTCGGGGCTCCTGCAGACAATGGGCTGGGGCTGTCCGGAAGGCAGCGTGTTCCCCTTTTTTCAGAAGGGCCTTCCCCGGGCCCCCCTCTCTCAGCACCATGGCCGAGAGCCCCGAAACCAGCATTCCCAGGGGCAGGAAGAAGCCCGATCTGGGCTCCGCTTCCGGCGCCCCTCCCCCGCCGGCTGGGACTTGCGTCAGTCAGTCACGTCAGTGGCTGTGACTCAGCACCCAGCCCGGAGTGGGGAGGGAGGGAGGGCCGCTGCCTCCACGAGCCTCCGCTGGCGCTGGCTGTGAGCTCGGCGTGGCCGCACGGAGCGCACCGCGGGGGTGACGCTGTCCGTCCCCCGGGCCTGGCGACGGATCCCATCCCCTGAGCGCCTCTCCTGCCCACTCCCCTGGCACACTGTCCGTGGGGCACCTCGCTGGGCCTGCCATCGTCGTCGTCGTCAGGGCTTTAAAAGACACGGCGTCCTTTAGAGAACGAGGCAGAACGAGGCAGAACGAGGCAGAACGAGGCGGGAGCTCGCTCCCTGCAGCCTCCGGACTGTTCTGTCCCCGCGGCCGGGAGCCGAAGTTAACCCTCGAGGATGCTGACGATGCTGCCGTCGGGCTTGCACGGTGGTGGCTGCGGACCAAGCCTGACCTGCATGCCCTGTGGCCGCCCGGGCACGCCGCTCCTGCCATGCACGCGTGCTGCGGCCGCTTCTCTGTCTTGTTCCCTGCAGGGTCCGGAGCACGGAGCACGGAGCACGCAGTGACCGGACTGCACCAGCCTCCTTCGGGGAGCACTCCGAGGCCGAGCCAGGGAGTTCTCAGAGGCGCCAGCAGGAAGTCAAGGCCTGGGTCCCGATGCCCTGTGTGGTGACCTGTCCAAGCTCGGGCCCCTGCCCAGGCCCAGGAGTGTCCCGGGCGTTGGGGGTAGGGTGTGGGGGGTGGGCAAAGCTGCAGACAGAATGTGGGCACAGAGTGTTCTGGGGCTGCCCTTGGCTCCCAGGTGGCACCTCCCAAGGTGGCAAACCCTCTCCTCTGGGTGGGCGCTTCCCTTCCCAGGCAGCCCACCCAGCCCTTAAGCCAATGGGAGGGCCCTGCCCCCTGCAGGCGGCGGCAGAGCCCTCGGTGCAGTGGGGTGCCCAGGGCTATACAGACCTGGGTGCCAGGGAGAGCAGGTCTCCAGCCCTCCGCCGTCCTCCCCAGATCCCACCGGGGAGCACCCCGGCTGGCTCAGCAGTCGCTGAGGGAGCAGCCTGGTCCAGGCGGGAGGGCTGGGACCTCCGCGGACCGGTCCCTCCCATGGGGTCGGAAGGGCTGACGGTTTGGGACTAAGATGACTTCCTCTCCCTGCTTCTTCTTGAAGAGAGTGCCCGCGATGCTTTGCTAACGATTCTGTATCTCTTCTTCCAGAGGACTCAGAACTGAGAGGCTGGGAGCCCGCACCCCGTGGTGCCCCCTAGCTCCCTGTGCCAGAGCCAGTGGCAGTGCCAGGGCCCCCGCGCTGGGCAGCCCTCCGCCGCACTCCCGGCTGGCGTTCCCGGGCAGCGGGAGAGGCATGAATTAATCACCCTGACGATCAAATGACAGGCGTGTTCTAGGGAGCAGCACCAGACGCTGCGCTGTGGCTGAGCCGGAAGCTGGGCTGAGGGGGTGGGGCGGGAGCAGGGAGTTTTCAGGAGGGGGGTCTGCAGGGGGACCCCTGCATTCCGGGGGAGGGGTCCGGGCATTGACAGGAGTTGCAGTGGGAGAGTGGGTGGAGAATGTTCCAGAAAGCGGGGGCAGCATATGCAGAGGCAGGGTGTCTGTGACCGCATCTCAGGGAAGGGTGGTCAGGTTCTGGCTGCTGGGAGTGGCTGAGGAAGAAGAGCTTGGCCGGAGGAAAGCTGAGAATGGCCCAGTGTAGATCTCCTCGTTGTACACGATTCTGACCCCTCTCCCTCCTCTTCCTCAGGGTCATGGCCTCGGAGGAAACAGAGACGCGTTTTCTTAGCTTCCAACAACCAGGGTACCGGCTGCCATTTAGCACTCCTCCGCCCCCCCCTTACAGCCCCAGCAGGTGCCCGGGGCACTGTTGGCTGGCGTGCCCCCCCCTCGGCAGAGCCCACGGGCTCCAGCGCCAGGTGCTGGGCTCCTCACCAGCAGTGCCACCCCCCCCCCCCCCCCCCCCCGCAGGCCGGCCGGGAGCCCCTGCAGAGCGCCAGCCACGGCTCCGGGCAGAACCAGGCGTGCCCCCTCCCGGTGACTCCTGTGTCCAGACGCCACCACTTTCCCTTCCCCAGAGCAGGATATGCCAGTACCTCCGGAACCATAACAAACAGAAGCCCGTATCTCCAGGCCGAGAGGATGGTAAGGAACGAGAGAGAGAGAGAGAGAGAGAGAGAGAGAGAGAGAGAGAGAGAGAGAGGGAGAGAGAGAGAGAGAGAGAGAGAGAGAGACATCCTACTGCCTCCTCTTCCTCACGGTCACGGCCTCAGAAGCCATGGAGACCTGTTTTCTGAGCGTCAGACAGCCAGAGGAGATGGGGGGGGGGTGCTGTTAGGAGATGGGAAATCTAACTTAAACACAGTTTGCAAATCGTATTCTCAGGCAGATGCTCAAGGCAGCATGAAACGCAGCTCCGTGCTTGCGTTAAAGCAGTGGTCAGCAAACTGCGGCTCGCGAGCCACATGCGGCTCCTTGGCCCCTTGAGTGTCGGTTTTCGGCTCTCCAGAGAAATCTCAGTCGTCGTACTGTTGATATCCGGCTCTGTGGACTAACGAGTTTGCCGACCACTACGTTAGAGGATTACCACTTGCCACAGGTTTAGGAGGCTGGCTTTTAACCAGAGGTTAAGTAAGATGGCTGGTGGGGTGACCCTCACGTGTGGCCCTGTGGGGCCCGCGTCCTTCCTGAGTAGGGCACTAGGAAGGGGTGGCCTGGCCCAGGTGGAAGCAGGAAGTTTTCCTGAGAGGGGAGATCTGCAGGGCCCTGGAGGGTGGGGGGGGGTGTGGGGAGGGGGTGTGGACAGGAGTCACCTCTGTGCATGCCAGAGCCTCCCGGCACAGGGCGTGAGATGCTGTCAGAAAACATCCCGCACATGGCGTCCTGTTTCCCCAGGGCAGGGCGGTCCTGGCGGAGACAGACACAGGCATGGCCATGCTAGCCATGGCTCTGGTAGCTGGGCACCCGGACCCTGGTTTGCAGGGACTGGCGGGCTGGGACAGTAGAGCTGATGATGCATTTGTGCCGCTGAGTGTGTGGGAAGTGGCGGCCGTGACTCTCACGCTCCCCGAGCATCATCACTGCAGACACCCCGTCAGCCTGCCTCCACGTGGACCTGGTGCCTCCACGTGGACCTGGTGCCGCCACGCGTGGAGCCGCGGGAAGACGTCCTTCCCGGGACAGAGGCCGGGTCCTCCCATCGCGCCCCCCTTTTCTCTTCAGCGAGACCCTCTTCTTCTGGAAGCTGGTTTCACATGGTGGCTTAGATTTTTCCATCTTTGTATCTAGCACCATTTGAAATCAGTGTTTTAGGAGTAAGAATTGCAGCATGGCCAGCTGGCTCCTCCTCCCGCCTCCCCGAGCCGCCTCAAGACAGAAAGAAGCAGCTGGAAAAGCAGAGCAGCCCCCGGGGGGCATGCTGGGTTTGGGGTAACCGTGCATGCGTGTGCAGGGGGTTTGAGCAGGTGCCAGGTGGGGATCCTTGCCCACAGGTAGCCACAGCCCCCTGTCGGCTGGGCCTGTGAGCGGCGATGGGCACTGCTGGGTGGGATACCTGGGTGCCCAGGGAGCGGAGAGGGCTGGGCACCGGGAGAAGCTTCGGCGTCAGCACGGCCCGCCTGCCCCCAGCGCGGGGGACTCGGACCCGCCACCGGCGCCACCGGACCCATCTCTTACACAGGCTGACCGATTTCTCCTGGTGTTCAGAGTCTGTTTTTGTCTAGCACCATTTGAAATCGGTTATGATGTAGGGGGAAGAGCAGCAGCCTTGGAGCCCCATGCCACGTCTGCTCAGCACAGCCTGTGCTTGCCTGGAAGACGGATGGGCGGGGTAGGGGTTGGGGTAAGGGTAAGGGGAGGCGGGAATGCTTTTTGCTACTGACTTCTGTACCTGGGTTTGGGATACTGTCCTGCAGAGGGAGGAGAGGAGTGGTGGGTGTTTAAAAACAGATGGCTGGCTTCTCGGAGGTCCTAGTTGCCTTTTGCTGGGCTGTAGGAATGCTGTATAAATGCTGCACACGGGTTGCTTGTTGACATATCTTTCTGTGAAGGCATGGACTGTCCATGCATCTGAACGTAATAAATATTCTACTGTCTTCCATGTGTCATGTCCTTGTTTTTTGTTTTTTTATTATTATTTTCCACTCACAGTGATGAGAAGCTGGGGCCTGAAAAGTTCATTTCCTATGCAGATCCTACCTGCCTCATCTTAAAGCGTACCAGTGGGGGGCAGCAGACACACAGTAAAAAACGAAGCCCAGCCCCAGCCGGTTTGGCTCAGTGGATAGAGAGCATCGACCTGTGGTCTGAAGGGTCGCTGGTTCGATTCTGGTCAAGGGCACATGCCCGGGTTGTGGGCTCAATCGCCAGTGGGGGGCGTGCAGGAGGCAGCTGATCCAGGATTCTCTCTCTCATCACTGATGGTTCTGTCTCACTCTCCCTTTCCCTTCCTCTGGGAAATCAATAAAAAAAATATTTAAGCAAACAAAGCCCATTAAGGCCAAAGTGGCGTTCTGGGAGCCAGGAAGCAAGAGGAGAGAGAAGATGACCCAGATGCGGAGCACCTGGAGCTGCTCTGACGGGGAAGCCCACCTGGGTCCCAGGGGCCCCTCCCCATCCCGGCAGGCAGCGCTCCTGCCCGCGGCCCCTGGTCAAGTGGAGCCGCCTGCTGAGCCCCGGGCAGTGGGAGCGAGCAGGAGGGGCTTCGTTCCTCTCCAGGGCAGGGCAAGGAGCCCATAGAGGGGTTCGGAAGTTAGGGGGAGTTGACAGAACAGGGGCCGAGGCCTGGGGGAGAGGGGTGGTGGTCAGGGTGCGGGGCCGCGGGCCCTTGCTGGAGCTGTTTGCATGGAAGCTGTGCTGGGCCTGCAGTTGTCTCCCTCCGAGCCAGTGGCTCTCGGTGAGCGGTGGCAACTCAACCAGGCGGCATGGATGTGGCGATTCCTGCCGGGACGGCGGCTCCAGAGCTAGTTCGTGCTGCTGATGGAAGATTCCACGTTCTGACCCCCAGGATGTGGTGGTGGGAAGAGGTAAGACCCCCCCCCCCCATACACACACACACACACACACACACACACACAATGGTTTTATTCACTTCTCTGCAGAGGTAGTTGCTAAGTGCTTGCGTCAGTTGTAACAAATTGAACAATGCTTCATGTACTGTGTCCCAAGCTCCAACCTAGGTACTGAAAAACAACAACAAAACAAAACAAAACAAAAAAAGACATGGATTCTGCCGACAGGTTGCTCTGATTCCGGTCCCCAGATGACTAAGGACTAGGAGTTAAAATTAGCAGGACGCTGCTTTGGGCCACATCTCGAGTCTCACTTTCAAGGCCATGCCATGCACTTGAAAACGCTTGGCTGGCCCGGAGGTCCGCTCAGCTGAGCTGTACCGTCGGGCTGCCCGTAGGGGTGTAAGCGGGAAGGTGCGTTGGATGGAAGGCTCACTCGGGCCTCCTGCAGGCTGAACTGGCAACAGTTCCCACCTGTGGCAATAAAGGCTGAGGTGTTCCCAATAAGCCCAAGACACAAATCTGAACACAATTGTGGTGAAATCACGTGTTAAGTCTCCAGCCTGGTAATCTCTCACGTGAGGTGTGGGTCCAGGCCTCACTGAGAAGCCGGCATATAGTTCGGGAGGAGCAGGGGTAGTGGGGGGCAAAGGGGCGGGGAAGACTAGTGTGTCCATGTATTGGGGAGCTTAAGAGTTTCCCTTGAACACAAGAAAAGCTGTATTTGGGGTTTATTCTCTGGAGACAGCTCCTCCCCACCTTCTGATCAGTTCCACCCAAGGAGCCTGCACAGAGCGATGCTTAGCCGCCACCCTTACAGGTGCTGCCTTAGCTCTCCCAGCGCTGGGACCTGGCATTGCTTTCTGCTGCTGGTTTCAAACGCCTCCCTGGTGATGCTAATGCGAGGCCAGGCTGGCAACCACTCGTCTGACCACCTGTGCCGGTGGTTCTCAGTGAGTGGTGGCAGCTCAACCAGGTGGGCATGGGTATGGCCATTCCCGCCGGGAATCACAGTGTGTTCTGAGGACACCGGAGTGCAGTGACCCTTACTGAGAGTCACCGTGACCGTGAGGAAGAGGAGGCAGTAGCATCTCTCTCTCCCTCCCTCCCTCCCTCCCTCCCTCCCTCCCTCTCTCTCTCTCTCTCTCTCTCTCTCTCTCTCTCTCTCTCTCTCTCTCTCTCTCTCTCTCTTTCTCTCTCTCTCTCTCGTTCCTTACCAGCATTGGGGGCTGGTCTCCTGTGGCTACGGTAACAAGTCACAGCAGACTGGGAGGCTCAGTGTCTTCCGGCCTCTAGGAAAAATGGTACAGCCTGGGTAGCTGGTAAATAACAGAAATGCAGTCCTCACAGTTCAGGAGGCTGGGGAGCCCAAGATCCAGGCCCTGGCAGTGTGGGCATCTAGTGAGAGCCAGCTTCGTGGCTCATGGACAGTGCCTTCTAGCGGTAAATTCATGTGGCGGAGGATTGAGGGCCTTTCATAGGTTCCTAATCCCGTTCATGAAGCTCGTGCCCTCTGACCCAGTAACCTCCCAGTGGCCCCGACTCCTACTGCCATCCCCTTGGGGGTTAGGGTTTAACACAGGAATTTTGGAGGAACACAGACATGCACACAGTGCCTCAAAGCAACACACATTTTTTTCGTTCTGGAGGTTGTAAGTCTGAAATCAGTTTCATTTGGTGGAAAGCAAGTTATTGGTAAGGACGGGGAGAGGATCAGTTTCCTGGCCGTTTCCAGCTTCTGGAGCTGCAATTGTTGCTTTTTGGCTCCTGACTCCACCCTCCAGATCTGGCAGCATTTTGCTTGAGAGGTCACACTGCCTGGTGCTGTAGTCACATCTCCCTCTGCCTTCCTCTTAGAGCAGCGGTTCTCAACCTTCCTAATGCCGCGACCCTTTAATACAGTTCCCCGTGTTGTGGTGACCCCCATGGGTCACCATAAAATTATTTTCGTTGCTACTTCATCACTGTGATTGTGCTACTGTTATGAATCATAACGTAAACATCTGTGTTTTCCGATGGTCTTAGGCGGCCCCTGTGAAAGGGTCGTTCGACCCCCAAAGGGGTCAAGACCCACAGGTTGAGAACCGCTGTCTTAGAAGGAGACTGTGATCACATCTAGGGCCCCACCTCAATAATCCGAGGTAACCTCCCACCCAAGGCCTCATCGGAGAAAACCCTTTGCCATCTGGTGACATCACAGGTCCCAGGCACAGCATGGCGGTAACCCGCTCTCTGTGGGGCCACGATCCAAACAACCACAAACTGCAGACAGTGGGACTCACAGGGATGCAAACACTGGGCCCCACCTGAGACCCATTGGAGTCAGCATCTGCATTTTACCAAGATCAGCCTGAGACTCACCTACACACTGCACTGTGAGAAGCAGGTTCGATGGCACCTTATCCAAAGAGTCTCTCATAGTGGAGTCCCATGTCGATGGCACATTGAAGGAGTATTTTTCTAGGAGCCTTTTCTGGTGGCGGGAGGTGATCAGAGACCAATCCTTTCCTTAAACACCATCAGTAAGTGCTCAGCTCAATGGCAGTCTGGTCCCCAAAAACACGCAAGAGAAGCAACAAGCCCGGAGTCCCAGGAGAGCAGAGCTGTTGCTTGTTTCCGGTATTTGGCACAAGGCTGGCCACTGCAACATATAATAATTCCATTTTTTAAAAGCTACGCAAAAGTAACAACCACACCCTAACTGGTTTGGCTCAGTGGATAGAGCATTGGCCTGGGACTGAAAGGTCCCGGGTTCGATTCCGGTCCAGGGCATGTACGTTGGTTGCGGGCACATCCCCAGTAGGGGGTGTGCAGGAGGCAGCTGATGTTTCTCTCTCATCGATGGTTCTAACTCTCTATCTCTCTCCCTTTCTCTGTAAAAAAATCAATAAAATTTTTTTTTTTGAAAAAAGTAACAACCACAAGTGGCTCCTCCTGCGAACGTGGGGGTTACTGCCCGCTGCTGGTTTTCTGGGTCAGGTCAGAATCAGGGTGGGGTCACTTCCTCGGTGCGATCTATGCTAGGGTCATTTGTTCCCTTCCTGCCGGTATGTAAATGAGAGGGAAGGGAAAGGGCTTTACTGCCCCCAAACCCCAGTGTTGTACTTCCCCCGTATTAAGCAATAAAGGACAGGGTATAGACACTTAAAGATGTTGATTTCACAGAAGGAAAGCAGAAAAGAGCTAGTTAATGCTAGACCCCAAAGGAGAGTATAAAGGGCCTCTGGTAATTAGTGACTGAAACATCTGAATGAAGAGTTTGTAGGGCGCCCAGCTGGTGTGGCTCAGAGGTTGAGTGTAGGCCCATTCACCAGGAGATCACAGTTCCCTTCTCGGTCAGGGCACATGCCAGGCTTACGGTTTGATTCTCAGTGGATACTGGGTTGAGGTTTGATTCTCTGTGTGTGTGTGTGTGTGTGTGTAGAAGGCAGCCTATCAATGTTTCTTCCTCTCTCTGAAATCAATAAAAAACATTTTTTTAAAAAAATTGAAGGCCTGAGGAAGAGATTGTCCAATACTCTTAACTGTCCAGACGGGGGCAGCAGTGTAATGATTTTCAAAAATAGCTTTTTTTTTTTTTTTTTTTTTTCTCAGTGTAACCTTTCATGGATGAGACTGGAAATGATGAAAGTAATGTAGGTTAGGGGGAAAGATTCAAGTACACTCAATTTTGCATGATTTCAGGAAGTCAGTACACTAGGTTAAATCCTGTTTAAAAAAACCCACATTCTTAAAATATGTAAAAAAAAAATTCATTCTGAGTTACAATATTTAGTAATGCTGTTGGGCATTACTAAATTTCAGAATACAAGTTCCTTAAACCTAACATCTCCTTTAACAATGCAAATTCAAATTCCTCCTCTCCCACTTTTTTTTTTTTTTTAGCATTTTAGTAGACTTTTATTGTTAGTCACCTAGAATATTCTTCCTGTATATTTTATACCAATATACAAGTATAAAAAGTAATAATTGAACAAAATGCTTTATTTATAGTCAAGCTAATTTTCCTCCAGTGCTGGTATTAGAAAGATTGCTTCTTGTATTTTTTTAACCACAGATAACCTTGTTTGGTTAGGCAGGCAATAAGACCTTGATTCAAGTCTTAGGCATTTCTGATTTCTTTCATAAGCTGACAACTCAAGTTTCTTAAGTAAATATAAGCCTTTACCTCCTATAAGTTTCCATGAAGAAATGGCCTGTGGATGAGAGTCACGAATGCAGAGGTTTTCCACCTTAGCTGCCTATTAGAAGCGCTTGGGGAGCTTTAAAAAAAAAATCCCTCTGCCCAGGGCACAGAGCAGATCAATTGTGCTGGGAAACGCTGGGTGGGAGCTCTGCCAGGGATTGCAGCCATGGCTGAGTCCCAGGGAGCCTGATCTCAGAGGTTCAGCAATCTGACTTAATGCCAAGAATAAGATGAAAGGTGAAACAGAGGGCCGGAGACCAGGAGACCAGGACACAGGCTTTACTGGAGGAGAAGACCCCTGCGGGCTGCCTTCCAGGGTGAATACGCCTTTTGAGTGGAGGAAAAGGAAGGAACGAGGTTTAGGTCACTCAGCACAAGCTGATTGGTGGTTTCATGTAAGGCACATGATTAGGGACCAAGGGACTTAGGAATCGGGGGCTTAGGGTATTTTGGCAGGTGCTGATTGGCGGTTCAATGTACAGTCCATATAAGGTGCCTGGTTAGGTGCTCAGGAATGTCTGTGCTGCAGGTACAGGTTACGTCATACTCCGTCCATCAGTAGGGAGCATCTATCATTCCAGGCTTTTGATAATATTTTTTTAAAAAAAATTGAGAGTCTGGGCAAGGTCAGGGGGTGAAGGTCCATCTTCTGTAACTGCTTCCAGCTGAGAGGGGGTGTCATTAGGGGCGTCTACCCAGGGTCTTAAGGATTCTGGTGTTAGGTTCTGAGTTCAGTACCAGATAGATCTCTCCCACCTTCTAGTTGGCGAACACCTGCATTCTGTTCTGTAAAAGACTAGTGAAACAATTCATGAGACAGGTGCCAAAGAGCAAAATTAAGAGTATAGATAACAGTGGGCCTAATAGTGGGAGGAGCCATGGGGTATGGGAGCAAAAAACAGGTGGTGTTTTCCATGCTGGAGGAGGGATGCAGCAGCATGATTTCCCCAAGAGACTGGTTGGTGAAGTCTTGAGAGCGATCCTGTTGAGTCATTTAGGAGGTAAAAACTGGTCCTGAGGCTGCCACAGCATCACTTGTCTGGTTTTGCTGCTTTTCTGCGCCTGGAGCTGAAAGATAACTGAGACCTAGATGTTAGCTTTTAGGGGGAAAAGGGTAGGGGCCTCAGTTGCCTCATTAGTGATATGAAAGGGGAGAATAGGTTACCCTGGGAGTGAGGTTCTTATTTTCCCAGTTTTTGCTCCTTGCTGGGCATCCACATGTTTCTTGTAGGTCCTGAGACAGGGTTTCAAAATAGGTAGAGCAGTGGTTAAGCTCCCTGTGGCAGTTCCAACTCCTGCTTGATGCTGAGGGTTAGGAGGAGAGGGATGATCTGGACTTCTCTTTTGTGTCAGATATGATGAATACGGGGACAGGTAAAGACTGATTATTGGGGCTGCATCTACACTGGGTGAGAGATAGATGAGTGTACAGGTTCCTGTCCAGCTGATGGGGAGACAGATGTATGTTTTTTTCCCCAAGGAGGAAAAGAAAAAAATCCCTGATCATGGAGACAGGCTGATAGGTGTAAGGAGAAGAGGTGGGCTAACAGGTATGAGATTCCTTTTTCTAGTTCTGCATTCCAAGCTGAGAGAGTGGTCACCATGGCACTACCAGGAAGTGATTGAGATGAGTGATTGAGACTGTATTGCAGTGAAAGTGGGAAGGAAAAGGAAGGAAAGGAGTAGTGGAAGCTGGGGACCTGGATGGCTGAGTAAGAGGTTAGACACTGTGAATATTCTGGTTTAGCTTAAGAAGTATCCAGCAACCTTGTCCTGTCAGGCTCGGAGGCTGAAGCCTCACTTTCTTGCTGAAAGTTCGTTCGTTCTTCCTACATTTCTCTGTTCCATCTCATCACATGCACAACCTTCACAAAAACCTTCACAATTTCAATTAGCCTTCAAACCTTCCTTCTAAGTCCTTCAAAAATGCATAACCATGCCTCAGACCTTCTATTAAGTATTTCTAAAAGGCGGGGGGGACGGGAGGGAACAGGCTCCGCAGCCTGTTCCCAGGCTAGCCAGGCCTCTTGCCTCTTGAATCCCAAATGGCTGCATTCTTCCTAGAGATAATGATCATAGAGGAGATCAGGAGATGGGGCATTTTACAGTCCAAGGAATGGCTCGGCCTTGTGGATTGTGAGAGTGACACTGAGGTAGGTGACTGTGGTTTGGGACAACTGGGTTTTATGAGGGGATGCAGGGTAGCCCTGGCTGGGCACAGAGGCAGAATGAGAAAAGAGTGAATGGGGGAATTTAGTAAGATGCAGTATAGACATGAGTTGGCTAATGGCTGTGAGACCGATCTGTCAACCCCCATAATAGAGACTGAGGAGGGGACCAGGGTCCCAGTGAAATCAGAGAGGGCAGATTAAGTGGCCCCAGTGTCCATTAAAAAGGAGATCGGCTTACCTGCCACCACAGTCGTTCCCCGAGGCTCTGTCCTGGTGATGTAAGCCTGTGGGGCCCTGTCAGGGCCTGGGCAGCTTCTTCGGTGGCCAATCCCAGGAGGTCTGGGAGCTCCAAACTGGATACAGAGGGCAGCCATGCTGGACTGGCTGAGGCCAGACCCAGAGGAGCCAGACTAAGTCTGATTTCCAGTGGCCTTCCCTCCGCACCTTGGGCAGGACCCAGGCGGGGGTCTCGGGTTTGAGCAGGACTTGGCTCAGTGTCCTTCCTGGCTGCATGTGAAGCTGGGCCCGGAGGAGGCTTAGCCCCTGACTTACCCGCCGTTGGACTGGCACTTGGTTTGGGTTTATGAGAGCGGTGGCTAGGAACTGGAAGGCCTCCTACTGGGCCTCAGCTTTGGCCTGATCTCGCCTTTGATTTTGGATTTGGGTCTCCTTGTCTCTATCATTAAAGACCTTAAATGTCAGTTTAACAAGGTCTTTTTGAGGTGTTTGTGGCTCTGCATCTATTTTTGAAGTTGCGGGGTATGTTGGGGAAGTAAAGGTGGGTCAGGTCAGTGGAAAAAGAAACCTGAGATGCCTCTCAACCTGTGAGGCTGGACATAGAGAATGGAATGTGGACTCAGACCACGCCCTCAGTTCCTGCTGCTTCCCTCAGGGGTAGAGTGGACACGGGAATAGAAGCAGCTGATGAGGAAGGCAGTCTTTGGGCCTGAGAATGGGTGTTCAATGGGAAAGGCTGTTTTGGAGCTCAGGATCTCAGGATTTGAGCCCTCAGGGACTGGGGAGAAGGCAGCTGCTGGTTAAGAGGGTCTGAAGAGAAAGAGCCTAAGCGTTTTTCAATTTGAGAAAGATCAGAGAGTGAGAAAGGAAATGGCCAGCCACCTGTGAATTCGTTTGCTGGAGGACACAGGAGCGGAGATTAGGCGGAGAGCACAGGGGAAGGCGGGCGCTTAGAATCCTCAGAGGTAGAAATGCCCAATCCTGCCTCCCATAATGAGTGAGGGACCAGCAGGGGCTATGCAAGTCAGTGGGCGAGACCAGTGTGTGTTAAGGAAAAAAAAAAAAAAAAAAAAAAAAAAATTAACTGTACTCCTGGAGTCGGCCGGCGCTGACCTGGGAAAAAGAGTGCTTAGTCAGAGAGGGACAGGTTTAGGGTTGTAAGGAGGTGGTGGGAGTGAGACACATGGAGAGAGATGATCCACCGGGTTGAAAGAGAAGACAGAGAAAGGGTTTTGAGAGGGCAAAGAGGGCTTCCAGAGGAGGATCTGATGGGTGGAACATGAGGAGTAAAGTGAGTGTGGGGGGGGGGGGGGCGCGCGGAGAGGAAGGATGGGTGGGGAGGGGAAGCCTGTTCATAGGAATCTCTGAGGCTTCCTTGTCCGGTGACAAAAATTATCTAGATCTCGGAGGATATTGGAATCAAATGTGCTGTTTTAAATGAGCTTTTTTGGTTTGATGTAGCCAGAAAGACCAAGGGTTGAGAGATGGCGAGGAGACACCCTAAGGGTGTGCTTCGAGGGGGTTCGGATTGAGAGGTCCCCCTGACCGGAGGGAAGGGCCACCGAGAAGTTGGGGGAGTAAGAAGCGTCCTTCTTTCCCCCCAGCCAACTTGTAGAAAGAAAGAAACGAGAGAAGGTTCCAAGGTCGTCACCCCGAGACCTTTCCTGTAGAGTAGACCAGTTTCAGGGCCAGGTACCTGGGCTTTCATAGAACGTAGAATGTAGAACGTGTAGCCGAATAGATGGGAAAACTGAGGCCCTTCCAGGTCAAGGGAACGGGGGTGGAGGGTGCAGGAGGGGGATCAGGAAGATCCCTGAAGCCTATGAGTTAGAAGGAAGTGATGAGATTCCCACATGTCCTGGTTTTTGGCACCAATATGAAAGATGAAACAGAGGGCCGGAGACCAGGATACCAGGACACAGGATATAGGTGGTTCAATATAAGGTGCCTGGTTAGGTGCTCAAGAATGTCTGTGCTGCAGTTACAGATTACATCATACTTTGTCCATAAGCTTGGGGAAAGGAGGATCTATCATAAGAGTTTTTGCATAAATAAGAAAACATCTTCATAGTTACACAAATCAAACTTTATAAATTTTATTGTTGGACTTGGGAGTATGGCTCCTAGCAGACAGTGTCTATGGATGCTCAGATGTGGTTGCCTCATCTGGGTAATAGGACTTCTGGGCAGAAATCGGGAGAAGCTTCGGCCGATGGGCATGAGGCGCTGGCCCTGGAAGATGCTCAGGATTTGACAGGACCACAGGCCCCTCAGGCACCAGTGAAGGAGGAATCCAGCACAGGGCAGATGGCACAGCTTGACCACCAGGGTGTTGCTCAGAGAAATGCAGCAGAAAGAAGAGCCTTGGGGAGAAAACTTGGGATTTAATTGTAGGAAGTCTTGGAGCATCATGCTGAGGAACTTGGGACTTCTGCTGTAGGTGTCATGGACACCTGTGAGCAGGAGAGGCAGGTGATGGGCTGGAAGTGGAGAAGCCCGGATGTATGTCAGGGTGTGAGATGGGAGGAGCAGGAGTCATGACTGCGAGAATGGAAAGGTTAGAGAAGGTGGGAACCCATTAGAAACTTACTCTGATTTCAAATCAGGGACCCTGGAAATGAGCACACCGACACAAAACGAACTTCACCCTACTTTTTATTTTATCAGATCGTAAGGACAAATTTTACAGAAAAAAAAACACACACACACACACAAAAAAACCCTCCATTCATGGGGCTTCCCATTTCAATGCAAATACATCCTTCCAGTTTTAGGAAACATTTCATTCAAATATATTTCCTTCTCTGTCATTTAAACAAATTTTTTACAGAAAACTTGTTTCCCCATATATTTCAGTAACAGAATTTGACAACACATTTATGTGTATATATATATCATATATATTAAATTGAAAGAGAGTAAACTTGAAGCACTATTATAAAAGTTAAATTTGAGCATCATCACAATCTTTGGTTGAAAAATGTCCCTCACGAGAGATTAGAGAGAGAAGGAACACTTTATAGAGTAAAATAGTATTTAGTCTGGTCCACTCCGATTTCCCAAACATGTCCCTCTCAGGGAAACATTTCTTCAGCCCAATTTGTGCTACTAAAAATAAAAATGTAAAAAAGAGAAAGAACTCCCTTTAGGAATAAATGAGAGCTGCAGCCCCTCCTCTCTGCGCATGGCTCATTGGAGAGAGACCCTGCCAGGCCTGAGGACTCTGAGAGGGAGGATCTGGTTTACCTGAGCTCCGTGATTTTTCTTCCCTGCAGAGGACCAACGTCCAACACAGAGTTTGGTTTCCTTTTCTGAAATAGGTGGCTAACGTTTACTCTGCCTTTCAGCAGGTGAGGTGAGACCCACACAAAGACTAATTCTGATGCAACTTAATTCTGATGCAACTTGGAATAATCTGATGGATTTACTCCCTACAAAACTGCCTCCTGGCAGATGACTTAAGTGAGATAGCTTTTTATTCAAGTCAGGAGAGAAACCCCCCTAGGCCAGAATTCAGAGCCCATTCTATGCCTCTTAAAGAGGGGAATTCTCCCCAGAAAGGCCAGTGTTCACTTTGTACCAAGCTGGCATTCCTGTTAGCACCCTCTATCTTTTCACAGAAGCGAGCACCTGAGCCTAAATTGTTATTAATTTTTGGACTGGTTTGTTACTGTTAGAAAAGGCGGAGAACAAATGCCAGACATTAACTTCATGGCTTCTCTAAATCACCAGAAGTTAAAATATATTTTGAAAAATAGAAATTTACCCCATCCCCTGTAATATTACTTTCCAATGGTATTCTTAGGTAAGGAGGTCAAGCTTACTCGGTTTTCAGTGATATTGTTTTTAATTTTTAAGGGCTTAAGTAGTATACACATATTTGTACAGACTTTTTATAATAAACTATAATACATATAATTGAGTTGTTGAAAGAATAAGTCATAAAAGTTGGTATTCACATTAGAAAAGAACATTGCAAAATCATATTCTTTATAGATGAAATGTCTCATCTCGAATTATACTTCCCAAAATATACAGATTTTATAAAAAAACATCATTGCCCTACCACAATCCTACCACGCACACTGTGTTGAATTGCACTATGAATGCAAGTTTTCTTTAAGGGAAAACAGCCAGATGTTCATCCCCAAGTTCACACCCATTTCAGAGGGGTCCAAGGAGAGTAACTATGTTTAAGCAGCATTGGGATGTTAGCATTATGCCTGCACAATTGCATTCACGACAGTGAAATAAACCAGAGAACGCCTTTGTAGATCTTTCCCCCTTGTAGTTTGATATGTAACGTTACTGAAGTTTAAGGTGTACAGCATGACTTGATAATGTGTTTATTATGAAATGGGCAAATTTCAGTTAATATCAACTCACATAAGTTACCAAAAAACTTTTTTTTGTGATCAGAATTTTTAAGATCTTTTCTTTTAGGAACCTGCAATATGCAATAAAGTATTACTAGTTACAGTCACCATGCTGTATGTTACGCTCCAATACATGCTTATAACTAAGTTTGAACCTTGTGACTACTACCTTCATCCAATTCTCTCACCCCACCACCCACAAATCTGATTTCTTCTTTGATGAGTTATTTTAAATAGATTCTACATATAAGGGAGATCAAACAGTATTTGTCTCTCCATATGTATGACTTACTTCACTTAGCAAACTGTCCTGAAGGCCAATACACGCTGCAAATAGCAGCATTTCCTTTTTTATGACTGAATAGTGTTTCACTGTACATGCAGACATCTCCTGTATCCACCGAGCAGGTGTGGGACACTTCAGATTGTTTCCTTGTCTTCGTTATTGTAAATAATGCTGCTACAAAGAGGGAGGGGCAGGTTATCTCGCCCACATAGTGCTTTCCGTTTACTCAGATAAATTCCCGTAAGATCATAGGTGGCTCCAGTTCTGACAGTTGAGGGCTATTTTGCATAGTAGTCATACGAATTTAAATGTGGGTCTTGACATTTGAAAAGAAAAAGATGCAGTGGTGGAGCTTCTGGAAAGCCAATCAGAGTATCTGCTGTGCTGGAGTGCTTGATTTATTCTGGTATGTGCTGTAGGCCGCAGTGCCTTCTGTTTCCCTAAAGGCAAGAGAAAGAGGTAGCATCAGAGACAAACCTAATTTTAAGTACGGAAGTTAAATTCAGAAGCCTACTTAGAAAATGGACAATTCAACTGCAGAACCCCCTCTTCTATCCCTGTATTATTGACTCCATGCAAACAAGAATTAGAGCAGCTGCACGTAAAGTACTTGGTAAATATCTCATAAATTATATTGAGGGCCAATGGGAAAGACAGGAGAAACGTGTTCTCCTAATATAGCAGTTTTCAGGTCTACCTCTGAGATGAAACTTTTAAAAAGGTGACAATTCCAACTGCATTCCTGTTCAATAATGCCTTCTACCCATATTGTCGAGGAAACCACGGGTCCCCATAAGAGATGTTCCTACAGAACAGAAGTTGCCATCACAATATTATTGTAGCAATAGACATCTGCCAGAAAGCTGCTATTCTAGCCCAGCGTGAATCATTGGGGTAATTTTAAATTTTCTAGAAGCCACATTCAAAAGGTAAAAGAAAACAGGAAAATCGATTTTAATATGTATTTACTTAACCCAATACGATGAAAATATTAACGTTTGCCACGATTTTACATTTTGTGTGCTAACTCGGGAATCTGGTGTGCACCTGACACTTCCAGCACATCTTGCTTTGGACTAGCCACTTTTGAAGTCCACAGTAGGATTACTAACTATTAAAATGGAACTGTTAACTATTAATAACCAAGTATCACACTGGAAAATGCAGCCGTGGTCCCTGCCTCAGTGACTGCACCACAGCAGACAGACCAAAGCTAAGATGCCCGGGCAGTGAGTCACAGTTTGTTCCACAGCGGGCACTTCAGGGGCGCCTCCCCAGGGCAAGAGCTCCAGGCTGGTTTGCACACGTGACTCTTTCTCTTGGTGGGAGGCCCCCTCTGTGAACACCACTGTCACAGGACTGCCCTTGGGACAGAGCAAGGTCCTGAGGACTGTTGTGAGGAGGGAGGCAATGGGTAGGCCTGCCTGCCACTGAATTCTCCAACTCCACTTCTATTTTCTGTGTTTAAAAGTCAATTCGTTTCATTTTCTGTAAGCTTCTTTAAAAATAATTTGAAATATAATTACAATATGTGAAAAGATAAAAAGAATTCACAAATGTCTAAAAAACACTTGATATAACAACAGTGAAGCTACTTGAAGATAAAAATCTGAAACCCAATTACTAATCAGTTACTTTGCCCTTCATTCAATTAATTTCAACTGTTTACAGAGGCCGTGAAGCTCAGGACAGTTGGAAAAGGACAGTCCTGGTTGGCTTAGCCTCAAAGGAATCCTGAGATCAGGAAGACAGGAGTGCTGGGAGGCACAGCTGCCCGTCTAACTGGGATGTGACTCCCCTTTGCCTGGGGATCAGACACCATTTTGCTTTTACCAAGTTGCCCTCCCCACTGGGTAGAGTCTGCCCCAAGTTCCAGGGCCTTACATTACAGGTGTTGAATACACACCTCCCTCTCCCCCTGTTAAGTGGAGACACGTTCTGCCACAAACAGGGACACCTGCAGTTCATGTCATTCAGACAACGGTGGACGGGGTTCATAGGGCTTAAGGCAATACAAATGAAAACATTCCAAAATCTGATTTTTTAATTGCTTTCTCTTTCCTATACTAAAACTATTCTGGTTAAGAGAGAGACAAATGCCTTCAGGGAGTCAATATTTGTAAGCTAGAACTGAACACACTTGCAAAATTAAGTAAAGTGTATTCTGATTTCTGTAAAAGAAAACTTTCCCTGCACTCAACATGAACAAATTCTATGATTATTTCCCATTGGGCTAAAAAAGTCCTCATTTATGGACATACAGCTGCTACAGGGGAGAGGAAGCAGTCTGATAAAAGGACAAGGGACCATTACTCTACTGAGCCCACCTCAAACCAAAGCCTGCCAGTCCACACCACTTTGCATTAAAACTGGAATGGCATTAAATCGGTAATTTAGCAATGGAGACTGAAGTCTCGGTGTCCTCGTTAATGTTTACTGTCATCACATCTTAGCTGAGGTTATTGACATCTACATATTCACTCAACATTTTTCAAAAGAAAGGACATCTAAACAGACACACAGTTAACAGATACCTTATGATGATAAAAGCAAACCTTTCTCTCATCTCTTCTTCTCATAGAGAAATAAATTTTACTTCTTTGTGGCTCTCACCAGTTAGGTAGGTGCTGAACAGAGGAAGGGAAAAGGGCTGAATAAAATAGGGGTAACAAATCAAAAGGAAGAGTGGCATAATAAAGGGGGTAAAATCAATGGCGGGCAGAGTCGAAGGAAAGCTGTCAATTAGCTCCAGACATTATGACTTCTCTGATTCTTTGGAACTGGAAAGAGGAATGTGGTACCAGCAGCTAATCTAAGTTAGAACCTTAAGATCCTGGCGTGAATAATGCAAACTCCTTCACAGGGCAACACAGTGGAGAGGAGAAAGGGCCTTGGGCCCTAGCACCTTGGGCTCTGAGGGAACACGCAGTGCACATATTAAATGCATGCAGTAGTGTCTCAGAAACCTGTTGTATGACAAGCTGCACATCTGCAGATGCATCCTGACTTTTGCATGGAGGGAAGACCTCTCCCATTTTCCTGGGATGGGTCTCAATCTCATAGAGGTGCTCTCCCCACTAACTACAAAATCTTTGTTTATTAGTTTTCTATTTACAATATTTGACGAGTTTGTTGCATGCTCCAGAATTTGAGACCCAACTAGAAAAATGTCCATGTTCATTTGATCCCTCTGCTGTTGTGTTGTCTCAGGTCACTATTCTGCCAAGCACCTGCCCGGGCCACTACATACAGTTAATCCCCCAAACCCTGTGACATTCATGTAAGCAGGCGGCTTAAAAAAATCACACAGCTACTGCACCAGGCATTATTAACCTAATGTTAAAAACAGGTTTACATTATAACAAGTCATTAAATATTTTTAAGGAAGCAAAAAACGATTTAGTCACATTAATTGAAATACATAAATTGTGCAGAGGATTCTAATGAACATGGCAAGCTCGTACTTATCCTGGAATGATATAACTAGAACAAAGAAAACCATGCATCAGTGAGAAAAGTATTCACTGCAAATAAGGGGAAGTAGGACTGTAAACAAACGGCAGCTGGTTTCTGGAAGCACACAGTCAAGCCACACACAACGGGATGGCGGCAGTAGCGAAGGACAGGTCAAGGGCTGTGCACTCCCAGACTGGAATGTGCGAGAATCAGCTGAGAACGGAAACTGGACAGATAAGGAAGTAGCATGTAGATGGGGCCCATTTCTGACCAGTTTGGGGTCCTATTGTTAGTATTCTTAGCCAGACGCTAAGAAGAAGAAAAATGTACCAGAGTACTTAAATTTTGTGGCCTTTTTATCGCAAAAAGATTTTTTAAAAATATATTTAAATTGATTTCACAGAGAAAGGGAGATGGAATGATAGAAACATCAATGATAGAATCATTGATTGGTTGTCTCCTGCACGCCCCCCGAAAACTGGGGCATGTGCCCTGGCTGGGCATGGAACCATGACCTCCTAATTCATAGGTTGGCATTCAATGACTGAGCCAAACTGGCTGGGCTTCACCATAATTTAAATGATGCTTAATGATCTTAAAAGGACTATTATTCTAATTTGTACTTTGGTTTTTGCTTTATCCTCTTTATTTAGCCAATAGATGAGGGACAGTTTTCTTTTGACAGTCGTTTCCTGGTATGTAATAATTTTTGGTGACATTATCCCATACAGACTATTTCTGGGCTATTTTATTCTATGGTTTAGATATGTTGTTATGCCAGCCCCATACTGTTTATTATTGCTTTGTAGTCTAGTTTGAAATAAGGAAGTATGATACCTTCCACTTTCTTAAGGTTTCATTTGCTTTCAAGGCCTTTTTAATAATTACTAAGCATGTATCTTTCTATTTATTTGCATCCTCTTCAATTTCTTCCAGGGTACAGGTTTTTTACCTCTTTGGTTTATTCCAAGGCATTTTATGCTGTCTGATCCTTCTGATTGTTCATTAGTGTGTAAGAATACCATGGATTTCTGTATATTTGGTCTCCTGTGACTTTACTAAATTCTTTTATTCTATGAATTTTGGTGATTTAGGGTTTTCTATAGATAGTATGTCATCTGTGAATTGTAAGAGTTTTACTTCTATCTAATTTGGATACTTTTAATTTCTTTCCCTTGTTTGATACTATGCTGAATATAAGTGATGATTGCAGATATCCTGTTCTTATTCCTGATTTTAGAGAAAAAGCTTTTAGCTTTTTGTCATTGAATATATTAGCTGTGTGTTTGTCATATGTGGATTTTATTACATTGAGGTATTTTCCTTCTATACCACTTTGTTGAGAGATTTTTTAAAAAAATAAAAGGATGCTTTATCTGTATCTATTGAGATGACATTTTGTTAGTGTGGTGCATCATGCCACTTTATCCCTGAGATAAATACTTTCAATGTATTATTTAATCCAGTTTGCGAATATTTTGTTGAGAATTTTGCCATCTATGTTCAAGGATATTGGTCTATAACTTTCTTTTTTTATAATGTCTTTGTCTAGCTTTGTCTAGATATCAGGGTAATGCTGGCTTTGTAGAATAAGATTCCTAGTGCTCTTTCCTCAAATTTTTGAAATAGTTTAAAAACATTTTTAATTGATTTCAGAGAGGGAAGGGAGAGGGTAAGAGAAACATTAATGGCAGAATCATTGATCAGCTGTCTCTTTTACACCCCCTACTGGGGACCCAAGCATGTGACATTAACTGTAATCGAGCACAGGACCCTTTAGTCCACAGGCCAATGCTCTATCCACTGAGCAAAACTGGCTAGGGTGCAGTTATTACTTCTTTAAATGTTTAGTAGAATTCACCTCTGAAGCCCTCTGATCCTACTGTTTAATTTTAAGAGGTCCATCACTACCTACTACCCCATTTCAATTTCATTGCTACTAACTTATCTGTTTAGATTTTCTGTATCTTCCCGGTTCTGTCTTGGAAGGTTGTATGTGTGCTTTCAGAAATGCATCCATTTCTTCCAGACTGTGGCATTTTTTGGCATATATTTTTTCCACAATATTCCTTAATTATTCTAAGTATTTCTTTGGTGTCATTTGTAACTGTTTTTTGTTTATATATTTCAATGGGTTCTCTTTTTTGCTTGATGAATTTACCTAAAGGTTTGTCAATTTTGACTGTAAGAACCCGTTCTTACATTATTTTTTTTTCCTATTTCGCTTATTTCTGCTCTGACCTTAATTTCTTTAGGTTTTGTTTTTTTTTTAGGTTTTGTTTTTTTCTAGTTCCCGAAGGTGTAAAGTTAAAGTATTTGGAATTTTTCTTGTTTCATGTTGTAGGCCTGTATAGCTATGAACTTCCCACCCAGAACTGCTTTGCTGCATTCCATAAATTTAATTATGTCTTCAACTTCATTCTCAAGACAGCTTTTCACTTTAACTTTCCCATTAATCCATTGATTGTATAGAAGCTGGTATTTAGTCTCGACATATTTGTATTTTTTCAGTTCTCTTCCTGTGAGAGATTTCTAGTTTTATGCTACATTATGCTTCAAAAAGTTGCTTGACATGATTCAATCTTTTTGAATTTATTGCACTTTGTTTGGGGGGTATAATATATGATCTATCTTGAAGCGTATTCTATCTGCACTTGAAAAAAATGTGTAGTTTTCAGTTTTAGATGAACTGTTCTATAAATGTCTATTAACTCAATTGGGTTAATGTGAGACTTAATTTTTTTTAAATAATGTGAGATATTATTTCCTTAATTTTCTGTCTGGATGGTCTGTTCCTTGATGTGAATGCAGGTATTAAAAACCTTCACTATTATTGTATTACTGTGAATTTCTCCCTTTGCAGACACTTAATATTTGCTTTCTATGTTTAGGCACTCCTGTATTGGGAACTCACTGTGCATACTAGACCTGACGTCTGCATCCTTTCCCACGTTAGGAATGTTTTCGGCTGTTACTTGTCCAAATAAAGTTTCTGTACCATTCCCTTTTCTTCTTCTGAGAGCCTTACAATGCAAATGTTAGTACATCTGATGTTGTCCTAGAGATCCCTTAGGCTCTCCTCATTTTTAAAAATATTTTTCTTTTTGCTGTTCTTAGTGGTTGATTTCCACTAGTGTGTCTTACAGGTCAGATTCTTCTGTTTCAGCTAAACTGCTGTTGACCCCTTTATTTATTTGCTTCAGTGGTTGCATTCTTCAGCATACTTTCTCTGTGTTGCAAGTTCTCCCTAAGTTTCTCTAAAGTTTGATAAGCATCCTTATTACTGTCTCTTTAAATTTATCAGGCAAAATATGTCTCTTCATTTGAGAGGTATTCTTTTATGTTTTGTGTCATTTCCTATGTTTGTTAATATCAATTATACAAAATAATGCTCTCCCTGTCTTGACAAAATGGCCAGTGTAGACTTGACCTCTGTGCAGGCTGTGTCGGGGTTGTTGGCTGGGTACTTGGAACCCTGCAGATGCCTACAGGCCTATGGAGATGGAGAGGCTCTAGGTGGGGAGGGCAGGTGTGTGCCCTAGTGATTGTTTCCTCCCTTTGGTTCAGATAATTCTGAAAATGAGAAGCAGCAAACGTGCCAAGTAGGCCCAAGCACTTAGACAGAACTCCCGCCCACTCTTTCGAGGTGTGCAGATATACAGCGGTGCTCACTGGACACTCCAACCTCAGGAATCCCATACTGCTCTTGCAGCTCATCTTCTCTACTAAGTCCCTCTCCTTTCATTATATAAAAAATGATCTTGTGTAGAAGTGAGTAGCTTGTGAGTGCTGGGTAGTGTTGGCAGGCTAGTTAGAGCCAGACAGGCACATAGGGCTCTAGGCTGTCAGGATGGAGGAGCTCCAGTCAGGGATACCTTGTTCATACTGCTTACTCCTTTTATTCGGACCCAAAATGGGCTCCAGGGAGCATGGTTGAGAACACACTGCAGCCATCTTGCTGGTGGGCCAAAGAACCCAGAGAGCGCTCCCCACCGCCTTATCGAGGTGGAGGGCAATGTATACGATGGAGCTTACCTGCACCTCCTCTCAAAGATTCCCTGCGGACTCGGGAGAACCCCTGTGGTTGCCCATTTCTCTACTTGGTCTCCTTTCTTTTGTTCTATGAGCCCTCAGTTGCCTATTGGAAGTTACTGCTCTCTATAGCGGTGCATATTTTGATGAGCTCGTGGGAGTTCAGTGTCCACCTATGCCACATAGTAAGTCCGTAGAAGGGCAATTGTGCTCCTAAATCATCATAAATACAAGTTTACATCAAATCCATTTTGTGCCAGGCTTAAATAGCAATTTGGGATTATCTGTGCCTGGTGTCCTGTTTCCAGTTACCCCTACCAATGGGGAAGAAACTGCATGCATTTTACAGTTCTGCAAAGGAGTTTGTTTCCAAGGCAACCTCAACCAGTTTGCAGGCATGGGGAACACAAAGACACTGATCATTAAACAGTGCTAAGAATATACTATAAGTCTTCAATTTTAAGAAAGAAAGCAAGGCAAAACTAAGTATTATATCAATTATCTTTAAAAAATCTTTAGGGGTCTTTAAAAATCTAATTATCTTAAGCAAGAGAAAAGCAAGAGAAAAATTTGCCTATAAACCTAATTGTATTTTCTCAAATTGGAAGTATATTGGCACATCAATAATAGTCTTCACCCAGGCCCAGTAGCATCATATAGGGCTCATCAGAAGTGGAATTTCAGATCAGTTATGTTACTGAACATTGAATCCGGGGCTATAATGCTCAGATACTTCTTCAGCTTTAAAAGAACCTTTAATTGATAGTTTGATTCAAACTTGTTTAATCAATCTAAGTATTATGAGGTAGTGACGTTTTAAACAAAGGAAAGTGAGGGACAATGCTATATTGCTTTGGAAATTATTTCTACACAAACCTTTTGGAATTGTAAAAGTACTTCCTACTCAGGCTGATATGCATGGGTAATTAAAAAATACTGATACTACTGAAAGGGAAATAGCATGTGTTCTACAAATATAAGATTCAAATGAAGGCATTGCAAGTACTTAAACTCAATGATTAATAGAAGAAAAAATATATATCATAAAATCATGAATATCAAAAGTCTGAAAATTATTGGTTTGAGCATCATTCTGTACACCAAAAAATTGCAGGTTTGATTCCCAGTCAAGGCACATACGAGAGGCAAATGATCGATGTTTCTCTCTCTAAAAATCAAACATACCTTCAGGTGAGAATTTAAAAAAAGTATTGCTTTAATTTCAAAGCTGTTTCCAAAGTAATTGGGAAGAATAGGTACTTTGAAATTTGATTTTTAATTAATCTTGGTCTGTACTCCAGAATTTATTCTTTCATTAAAATTATAAATTATTTCATTAGAAATAAGTTTGTTTAAAAATCCCGTGACCTTAGAAGGATTTATACATTTTCATTTTCTAAGTTTCCCATATTTTTTCATAAATACAAAGACAGATGTAAAGTTAATGAGGTGCCTTATAAAGCTTACCCCTCTCAGCAAGTTTAACCCCATCAGTTTTTCTGCAACCTAGTAAATTAAGAGAACATAAGAGGGAAATCAAATAGTGTTGCTTTTAATTCCTAAGTTTAACTTGTATAAATAACTCCAAATGAAAAAAAAATCAAATTGAATATTTGATTGATGGCATCTACATTGCGTCTTCCAACTACTTAATAAAAAAAAACAAATGGAATGTTTCATAAAAAGGTTCCAGTGAATATACCTGTCAACATTTCCACAGTGAGCAATTTTAAATTTAATCCTGGCCACAAGCCTAATTTGGAATGTAGGGCTTATCTACAGTAGGTAAGGTCCCATCATGGTCCATGATTTGTTGCAGAACTGAAACCCCAAATCACACAGAAATGTTTCTTAACAGACATATAGCTGAAGCAGCTCTACACAGATTTCTCTTGTTACAATGATAGTAAGATAGTAACAGTCACTGTAAATATTTTCAGTAAAGAAATGCAATTCTGATGGCACAGTTATGTAGGCACATTGGGGGGGAAAAAGCATGCAATACAGAGTGTAAACACAAGCTGCACAAAAAGTACGTCAAGAGTGAGCGGCACCAATGTGTTCAAGAAACGTGCGTTACATTACCCTTTCTTCTTCTTCTTTTGAAGGTACACACAGCAGCCAGCAATGAGTCCCAAGAAAACACCTACAATAAGCCAGAGAGCAAATGTAATTGAAAACTAATCACCAAGATTCAAAACCTAGCAGGAGAAATTAATGCTCAGTGGGCAGAAAATGCTATTTTATTTAAGCACATTGCCCTGGCCACTCACCTGTTCCATCTGGACTCTTCACTATCTAAGTGCAAATCTCTGGAATTATTTAGTCCTCAGCAAGCCAGAGAAGAGTCCTTTCCTAATTTACTAAGATATCCAAAGCATATTTAGGATGCAAACTCATATGACTAATCATCTTGAAAAAACATGTATTATTTAGGATTTGTGGCTAAGTGGACACATAGAATATAAATGAATATATAACAGCAATACAAGGCAGTATCTATATTAAAAAGCCAGTAACTGAACGCCGTAACCAGAAGTGCATTGCTGGGTCTCTGGTATCATTTAAAAGGTGAGGTGTTGCCCCGACCGGTTTGGCTCAGTGGATAGAGTGTCGGCCTACGGACTGAAAGGTCCCAGGTTCAATTCCGGACAAGGGCATGTACCTTGGTTGAGGCACATCCCCAGTAGGGGGGGTACAGGAGGCAGCTGATGGATGTTCCTCTCTCATCAATGTTTCTAGCTCTCTATCCCTTCCTCTCTGTAAAAAAAAAAAAAATCAATAAAATCTATTTTAAAAATAAAATGTGAGGTGTTTCTGACTCGTTTACTTAATGTCAAGCTATAAAAACTGTAGAAATTGAAACACTGTTACACAAATAATGCTCTTCACATTAATACTTTGAATTAAGTGGGATCCAAGTTGCGACACTTACATACACAAATAACAATCCCAGCAATGGCTCCACCACCTGCGAAAATAAAACTAGTTTGAAGATAACTGAGCACACGTGGGTCTCCAGGTGGCAATTACATTTTACTTAATCATCTATAAACTACAGCAAAAAAAGAGAAAGTTTAGGAGTCTAGTTTGGTGCAACAGTGCATCCAGCTCATTTGAGCACTGAGCCCTTCAAATCAGATTTCAGGCTTAGGGCCCAATACTGTTTTGTGCTGTAGCTACCACACTAGGTTATTAGTAAATATTAGAACAAATACAATTCACTAGATTAGTGGGAAAATCATTTTAAAAATCTATTATTCTATCTTAGTTTATATAGTTCAGTATTCAGTCTACCATTTCTTATGACTTTATTACATCAACAGTGGTGGGCCTGGGGAATAAGTCATAATAAAGTTCTATTATTACAGAAATTTAGTATGTTGAATCTTCACAAATAATACATTATCTTATCATCATTCCTTCCTCATGCACACCCACTTCAAATTAAGACATAATAAGGGGATTCTAAGAATGCAAAAGAAACACCAGGGCACATGGGTAAAATTTTGCTTAGAAACAAACAATTATTTTTGACTATCAAGAATGTAATAATTCTACAAAATCTTAATTATATCTTAATTTATATGAGTCAAAACATACAATGTCTTTTTTTTTTACCTCTATGCTTTTTAACCTCATTAAAAAAAACTGTCAAGTGTTTAATGAATGAAGGTGCTTTGGATTTACTGGCACAGTGACAGTTTGACCACAGTGTTCAGAGGGGAAACTTAACTGGCCTAAACATGTGTTTTATAAAACACCTTACTAAATTAGTCTAATGTAAAGAAAAGTAATACACATTTTTCTTCATTTATTCATCAAAAATCCATATACTTAATTTAAATGCAACAACTATAATGATCATTTTCTTGAACATATATTGTGTGAACTATTTGAGTCTACATAAAGTATGATACACTATCTTTGTTATGAATAAAAAAATTTACCCAACTCACAGTACGTTAAGGCTTGTGTATGCAAGGTATGAATAGAAAGAAAACTTACCTACCAATTGCCATCACAAAATGACACTATCACATGAAAAGAAAGTTATAGCCTACAAATTTTAACCTATAAATAAATACAGCATTTGAGAAAGTTACCTCACCTCAAAAGGAATCTTCTTAAAACTGTATTAATTATATGTGTCTACACCTACTACTGTTTAGATTTGTCATGGTATCTACACTATTACTAGTAAAATTACCAAATGTTAATTCTCACACGTTAGTGATAGGTTATACCTTCTCATACTATAGATAATCAAAATATATTTCCATGTAGGACATTAAAATCACACACTGCAGAGCATTACTAAAATAATACCTAATGGTTTAGATGGTGTTTCACCAGGATCAGGAGTGGAACCTGTTAGAAAAAAGAAAAAAAGGAAATAAGTAAAAAGAGAAAGAAGACAATAACAAAGTTTAAGACCTCTAAATTTTAAGTTTAAAATTTTTACCTTTGAGAATAAAACCCTTACAATTTTATTTTCTTCACATAAATTGTTTCTTTTCCAAATATCATAAAATATTATAAATTTATATTCAATGTCACCAGAAGTCTTCTTCCTGTCCAGTAACATTTCCTATGATAATATTCTTTGATAAAGTAATTAAATTTATCGTTAGATTAACATCAAAATTAGCCTATGGATTGATGTGATTCTACATAAAATTAAAAGACTTAGGGCCTGGCTGGCGTGGCTCAGTAATCGAGCTTCCACCTATGCACCAGGAGGTCATGATTCCATTCCCAGCTGGGGAAAATGCCCGAGTTATGGGCTCAAACCCATGTGGGGTATGCAGGAGGCAGCCAATCAAGGATTCTCTCTCATCACTGATTTTTCTATCTCTCTCCCCCATCCTTTCTAAAATCAATTAAAAACGAACAAACAGGAAGGCTTAAAAGGATTTAGAAATTAATCTATAGGAGAAGGAAATTTCCACATAATAAAGGCCACTTATGAAAAACCAATAGCTAATATCATACTCAATAGTAAAGGAATGAAAAAATTTCCCTTAAGATCAGGAACAAAATAGGATGCCTGCATTTCCTACTTCTACTAAACATCATATTGGAAGTTTAGGTCAGAGAAACAAGACAAAAAATATATAAATAACCAGCACCTAAATTGGGAAGGAAGAACTAAAATTCTCTTTGCAGATGACATGATCTTTTACATAGAAAACTCTAAAAATTACACACACAAACATATACCTGTTAAAACTAAAAAATAAATCCAGCAAAAGCTGCAGGCTACATAATGTGCACCCCCAAATCAGTTGCATTTCTAGACATTAAAAATGAACAATCCAAAAGGGAAATTATGAAAACAATTCCATTTACAAAAGTGTCAAAAATAAAATACTAAGAAACTTAAGCAGGAGATAGACTCCTACACTAGAAACTATGAAACACTACTGAAGAAATAGAAGATGACATGGATAAATAGACATCCTGGGCTAATATTACAAATAGTAACCCACAAGTTACATGCATCCCCTATCACCACCTTGAATATGTATGTATTCTTCAGAATTATGAAATCCAATTTATAATTGAACCCAGGACTCCTCAGTCCATGGGCTGACACTCTATCCACTGAGCCAAACCAGGTAGAGTCTAATTTATAAAACCAAGGATCTAAAAATTGCCAAGACAATCCTGAAACAACAAAAAACACAGCATCATTTAGAGGACTCCAATTTCCTGATTTTTAAACTTACTAAAAAGCTACAAAAATCAAAACACAGTGGTACCGGAATAAAGACAGAAACCAAATGAATAGAAGCCCAGAGATGAACCCTCACATAATATGGTCAAATGTGCACAAGGATGCTAAGGATATCTAAAGGGGAAAAAACAGTCTGTCAACAAGTGGTTCTTGGAAAACAGGATATCTACATGCAAAGAATGGAGCTGGTCTCCTGCCTTTTATCATATACAAAAATTTATGCGAAATGGATCCAAGAACTAAGCATAAGAGCTAAAACTATAAAACATTGATAGCAAAACATAGAGGACACGCTTCAAGATTTTGGATCTGGCCATGTGACAGCAAAAACCCAGGCAACAAAAAAAAACTAATGGATATATGGGACTTCATCAAAATAAAAAACTTTTATCAATGACCATTGATAGAGCAAAATATGGCATATATTAAAGTCATCATTAAAAGGATGGGAACAAGTCTTACTACAAACCCCAATCTTTTAAAAAAATATATATACCTTAATTTTTGAATATATCTATTGATTTCAGAGAGGAAGGGAGGAAAGAGAGAGTGAGAGAAACAACTATGATGAGAGAGCACTATTGATCGGCCATCCCCCGTTTGCCCTACCCTGGGGATAGAGCCTGAAACCCAGGCATGTGTTTCGACCTGGAATCGAACCATGACCTCCAAGTTCATTGGTCGGTGCTCAACCGCTAACCCTAACCCAGGCGTCTTCAAACTGCGGCCCGCAGAGGAGTCTGATCCGGCCCGCCAGGTTTTTTGGGCAGTGAGCGCAGCCGAGGTGTTACAGTAGGAATTAGTAGTTCATACAGTCCGGCCCTCCAGCTCTCCGAGGGACCGTGATCTGGCCCCCACTTTAAAAAGTTTGAGGACCCTTGCAACCCAATCTAAGATGTTAAGTGTAAAAAGTGCTTGAAAAATATGAACAGCATAATGCCATTTTTGTGCAAGATAAAAGAAAAATTGCCAAAATATGTAGAGATCTACACATACAAGATATTGATGTATAGGAACAGATGCAATGGACTAAGAGAAGGAGACTCTAACTCTATAATGTTTCAAATTTATATTCATACAATAAACTACTTATGTAATTGAAAGTAGTTATATTTTTACACCCAATAGTGTAAAAATCTTAAAAGGAAACTGGTAAAAATAATGGGGAGGGGAGAGGCAACTAGAAAAAAAATATTCCCTTCAGGTAAAAGGGGCTTTAATTTAAAAAAAAAGTTCTGATAAATCAGCAAAAATAATTCAGAAACCTAACAGAACAAAGGACATGATAGTAATTTAGACCAAAAAAAAAGCTTATCTGATAAAGGAATGCAAATTAATACATAACATGAAAATGTTCCACCTATCATTTTTATAAACTTAACAATAGAAGTAGAACAAGAGTTTTTGAACCTGGACTACTTGAAACTGGAGGCTTGGTTGGTGGACTAGGCTTGACACCTGGAAAAATAAATTTGATTCCATTCACCAGCCTTATCAATATATTATGGATTTAATTTTGATTTATAAAAATGTTAATTAGTCATTACCATAAAAAATACAGTTACTTTCTGAACTTTGCAATTCTACTTCTGGGCACTTAACCTAAATACATATTTAAAAAATACATAACAATGTATGCATAACAATCTTCACTACAGCTTTGTATTTTGCAATGGAAATCACGTTATTTAATAGTAAAAAGAGTAAAAAAAAAAAAAGGTTCAGAATTAACATTTGTATCTTATTTTTTAAAATATGTTTTTATTGATTTTTAGAGAGAGAGGAAGGAAGGAGAGAAAGAAACATGGAGATGAGAGAAACATCGGTCAGTTGCCTCCCGAACACATCCCGACAAGTGGGTTGAGCTCGCACCCTGGACATGTGCCCTGACCAGGAATCGAACTAGCAACCATGTAGGTGCTTGGGAGGACGCTAAACCAACTCAGCCACACCAGCAAGGGCTACATCTGTATCTTTTAAAAAATACCATTCAAGCAGCATTAGGCTACAGTACATCATTTCTATCCTTTTCTTTTCCCTCAGTACTACTTGTACAATATATTTTTCAATATGAGCAGAATTAGAGCTACTTTATCACTATTACATGTTACTAATGATTCTTTAATAACAAAATATATTTTACAGGCACATGAATAATTTTGATTTTTGATATTTAAACTGATGAACTGAGTGGATCCAGAGACATGGAAGCATGGAACAAGAACCTCAGAGGGAAGGCGAGAGAGGGTGAGTGGGTGGGAAGTAATCAACCAAAGACTTGTATGCATAACCATGGACACAGACAGACAATTGGGTGCTGAAGGCCTGGCACGGGAGTGACAGGAGGGGGTCCATGGGAGGAAAAAGTGGACATATGTAATACTTTCAACAATAAAAATTAATAAAATAATAAAACCTCTAGTTTAGAAACTCCTTACAATCAATTTGCTCTTCTTCTTTCAAATGCTAAATTGTAAACGTGTTTTATAAGCCCTTTATGAATTCACATGGTCAACTCATTCAAAAAAGCATATCAACAAACAGTATCCCACAGTGCATCTGCATGTGAGTAAACACGGTGGGTCAGTGAGTATAAACTTCACATGCAAAAACCATCTCTTCTCACTCCACCCCTCAAACCTCACAGTGCTCAACCAAGATCAAGGGGCCAGATCTACAGGAATTATAAAAAGGTGTTCTAATGACCATATTGACATGCATAACTTCCCTCAATTTTTAATGTCTTAGGAAAACAGAAACTGTACAAGCAAACTGAAAGCCAATGATTGAGGTGTGAGTTCAACACCCTCCTTAACCAACAGGAAATTAAAGCCCACGGAAATGACGTTCCAGGAGTAAGCAGAACCAATGGAGGGCCCTGAGTGAGGTCAGCCCAGGCTAATGCTCTTCCCACTACTGCCCCTGCCTGTTGGTTCTGCTGAAACCAAAGAGAAGCCAGAGAAAGCAGCACTGAAATCAGAAAGACAGCTCCTCCCACCGCATGAAAATAACCTCAGGTCTTAGGCCGAGTGGCTGATGACAGTCCCTGCAACAAGTCCTCCATTTCATTCTAGTACCTACGTTTTCCCCTCTATTTCAGTTGCTATGAAATTTAGCTTCTATTCCCAAATGAAAATGCTAGTGAAGCCCTGGCCCAGTGGTTACAACATGCTCCCATATCTCCTTGGTCGGCAAACTGCGGCTCTCGAACCACATGCAGCTCTCTGGCCCCCACGGCCTGGGTGAGTCTATTTTGAAGAATTGGCGTTAGAAGAAGTTTAAAAAATTTGGCTCTCAAAAGAAATTTCAATCGTTGTACAGTTGATATTTGGCTCTGTTGACTAATGAGTTTGCCGACCACTGGCCATATCCCAAAAGGCTGCAGGTTTACTTCCCAGTCAGGGCACATACCTAGATTGTGGGATTGGTCCACAGTTGGCTTGCATATGGGTGGCAACCAATTCATCTCTCCTTCTTTCTCTCTCTCAAATCAATGAACATATCCTCAGGTAAGGATTAAAAAATAAAGGGGTGGGGGGGGATCAGGGAGCCAGTAAAGGCAAAAAGAATAACTGTATGAGATGAGAGTGGAGGGTAGTAGCAATCTGGGTCTTGTTCTAGAGACACTGCCCGAAAGCACCAGTTGAAATTGCACTAGAAAAGGAATGAAACTGTTTGCAGTCCAGGAAATTAAACTTTGTCCTGGATCAGGAAGACACCCTGTAAAGGCATCACCGGATAGATCGCTTTTAAAATGGATGAAATAGCAATGATGATGATGGAAAACAAAAACACTATAGAACAGAAGCCATGGGTCTCCTTGTTCACTGACTTACTGCAGTGATGCTGTTAGGGCATACAGCTGTCTTTAAGAACTTCCTGTAAGCCACATACTGAACTAAATGCTTGAAGGAATCCCACTTAATGGTTCCTACCATCCAGGGAGGTAGGTATTGAACAATCTTTCATATAAATACTGTAAACACACTTAAAGTTTACGTAACGTGCCAAGTTAACAGCTGTTTCTAGCTGAGGACCATGGCAAATAAATTTAGAATCATTACATAGAACAACTAGAATGGCTGTAAATACGTGCTTCGTTCTTTCGTTACTAAAATGGATGAATGAGTGTAAATCATCAGATAGCTAAAGGATTATGAAAAAATATCTGGGAATTGAAACGATTTTGAAAAATCACCAGGAATTTGAAAGGTTTTGAAAAATATAAGTAGGAAGTTACTAAACCTGTGACACTGGAAATTGGAGGTTTTGTGCTGGGAGGAGTTGACACTGAAAAACAAAATAATGTAGAGTGGATCAAGTTACTTGGGAGTTATCGCTGGCACTAGCACCAATAATTCAGAAGAGTTTTGAAAATGTAAGCAGGATGTTACTAAACCTGAAGGACTCAAAATCGGAGTTGTGGTACTGGGAGGAGGAGGAGTCACCACTGGAAAAGAAAATAATTTCGACTGGATTAACCACTTAGAAATTATGGTCTTTTCATTCTTCATTCTTAACTTATTTAAATGTAAATACCCATGCTTCAATTTTCTTACAGATGGCTGCTATACAGTTTTACACATAAAATCAAAGAAGACAAATTTATAACCTGTGTGATATACAAAACGTGCCAACCCTATGAAAATACACAAGTAACAACAGCAGAATTCTTTGTGACTTTGTGTCATGTTAAGACATAGATACTAAAACTGCTTCACTTCAATTACTCTGCCATTTATATTTCAAAGAAATAAAACCCAAACAGGACAAGAAGTAGAAGACACCCTTTGTACCTTTATCACAGCGAGGCTTCTCGGGTACCCAGGTGGCATTAGCTTCACAGACAATTTTGGGGCTGCCTTTAAGGGAATAACCTTCGTTGCATTCAAATTGAACCTCATGTTTGTAGTAAAATTTTGTTCCAAATCCTGACACAAGCTTTCCATTAGTGACTGATGGAAATTCACATCTGACCACTGAAACGTGAAGAAATTTCAGAATTAATAGAAAGCTGTTTTAGCCTTGGAGAGAAAACCTAGTGCAAGGTAGTCATTTCCACTGTGAACAGGCAAGGACTAGAAAGCAGGATTTTAATCTTCTTAAAAAAAAAAAAAACACACTTTATTTTTGCATTTTAATTCCAGGTGAATAGATTTCACACAGTCCAATCATCTTTTCCCACCTAGAACAAACTGTCAGTAAGTTTACTGGCTTTCCTACATCTTCCCCCCATTAATGACAGGTTTTGAGAAAGGTCTGCTACCAGATACAATTTCCTAGTAAGTTCAAACACAGTCTTTTGATGCTGTTAAGCCCTAGGGCTTTGTTAAAATTTCATGCTGACACCGAGTACAGTGCACTACTTTTGTAGAAAGGCAGGAGAGACTCTTGTGATGAGAAAATGCTTCAGCTCAAACGTAAAAGTTGGAAAGAAGCTGGCTCTGCAAAGAGGCAGAGAGAAAGTTCTCGGGTACTGCCAACATCAAGACCTGGGATGTTCAAGAAAGGGAAAGGCCAATGGAGTCAGGGCGGTGTTTCCATGCATTTCTTTTAATTTAACCCAGAAGCCAAAAACTCCATTGCAAACCAGTATATAATCGTACAGACTTGAGATAAAGTTAAAAGTTAACCATTACACTTCATACTAGTGTATATATCCTGGTATTTCCCATTGTACTCTACTTCTCAGGAAGAACCTTCTAGATTGGTCAGGACCTTCTAGATTAATTTCAGGATCCAGTAATGGGTTTGGCAGAATTTGGAAAAAACAGAACACTGGCTGGCAGGAAGTACAGAGAGCATCTTAAGAGAGTAAACCGTAAGCTGGCTCTTCCTCCTTGCATGTGGACCTGAAGTTCCATCAGGTATATTTTCCCTTCAGCCTAAAGAACTTCCTGAAGCAATTCTTATAGTGCAGATAGGATGGTGACAATTCTCTTAGCTTTAGTTTATCTTAAAATGTTTTTATCTCACCTTCAGTCTTAAAAGATTTCTCCTTAAAAGATGAAGGGATTCAGAAGCACCAATTGGCAGTTACAAAACAGTCACAGGGATGTCAAGTACAGCATAGGGAATATAGTCAGTAAACCTATCGTGTATAATAGAAGTGTGATATGCTAAGTGTCCGACCCATAGATTGACCATTCAACCTACCGCTCGACCCTTCACTATGGTGAGCACTAACCAACAGGGGGCAGATGCTCAGACCAGTAGGTTAGCAGTATTTTTCCTTGACAGAGATTTCTAGGAGTCTTGTTTTATTTTTCTTTCAGCACTTTAGATGTTATTGTCTTCTAGTTACAAGTTCCTTAAGAGAAGTCAGCTGTCACTCTTAGAGGGATGAGGTGAATGTAAGATGTTGGTGGTGTTTTCCCCCTCTCTTTGGCTACTTTTCCTTTTTGGTTTTCAGAAGTTTTAACATGATTGGTTACTTCAGCAGGGGGTTCTTGGTAAAATTTCAAAATTTATTTATTCTGCTAGGCCAGTGGTCAGCAAACTGAGGCTCGCGAGCCACATGGGGCTCTTTGGCCCCTTCAGTGTGGCACTTCCACAAAATACCAAGGCCTGGCGTTAGAAGAAGTTTAAAAATTTTTGAAGAAGTGGTGTTAGAAGAAATTTTAAAAATGTGGCTCACCAAAGAAATTTCAATTGTACTGTTGATACTTGACTCTGTTGACTAATGAGTTTGCCGACCACCGTGCTAGGGTCACTGAATTTCCTGAACTAGTGATGTGCTTGTTTTGGATCAAATGTGGATAATTGTTCAAATAATCATCTATACCAACGGTTCTCAACCTGTGGGTCAAAACCCCTTTGGGGGGTCGAATGACCCTTTCACAGAGGTCTCCCAAGACTATCGGAAAACACAGATATTTACATTATGATTCATAAGAGTAGCAAATATACAGTTATGAAGTAGCAACGAAAATAATTTTGTGGTTGGGCATCACAACATGAGGAACTGTATTAAAGGGTCAAGCCATTAGGAAGGTTGAGAACCACTATACTCTTTCTATCCTACAAAAACATGCATATTTGACTCCTATTCTCCATTCATATTTGACTGCTACCCTGTTTCCCCGAAAATAAGACAGTGTCTTATATTAATTTTTTCTTCCAAAGTTGCGCTAGGTCTTATTTTCAGGGGATGTCTTATCTTTCCATGCGCTAGGTCTTATTTTCGGAGGCTGTCTTATTTTCGGGGAAACACGGTAGTAGTTCCCTAGGTTGTAAGTCTTCCTCTCTCTATATATTAAAAATGATTTCTTTCAAATCATTTGGTAGGTTTCTATTGTTCTCACTTGAAGTTCATTGATCTATTCTGTTGTGCTGAGCTGATATTATCCACAGAAATTATTTCTGTAAGTTAGAATTGGTGGATATAACTTATATAGGTTAAAACTCATCCTTATAAGTGCTCAGCTGAATGAGGTTTCATCGACACAAATACAAACCATGTACCTATCGCCACAGTAAAGACATAGAAAAGTTCCAGTACCTCCAACGTTCCTTCATGCCACTTTGTAATCAACTTTCCCCGTCTCCATTCCCCCAAGCACTCCCACCAGCTAACCATTGATCTGTTTTCTATCCCTATATTGTTTCTTTTTCAGAATGTCAGAATGGGATGACAGCCTCTGAGTACAGCTCATTTCACCTAGCATAATGCATGTGAGACTGATTCACTTCTGTACTTGCAAGATCAGATGCTCAATCCTTTACATTGCAGAGCATTCTCCCATTACATGGATGCACCATAGTTGTTCAGCCATTCACCAACTGAAAAAGATGGGCTGTTTCTAATGTGAGACGATTATGAGTAAGACTGCTATGAATATTCTCATAATAGGGTTCTATGTGAACATTAAAAGATTTACTTGGATTGCTGAGTTGTATGGTGAGTACATGTTTAATTTTATAACAAATCATCAAATGCTTTCTGAAGTTCACATACCACTTTGCATTCCTAACTTACAATGTATGAGAGTTCTAATTACTCCATATCTTTGAAATGATATGATTGTTACTTTTAGTTTTATTGCTGTGTTTTTAAATTACATTTCTGTGACTAATGCTATTGAGTAATTTTCATGTACTTTTTTTTGCCACCAGTTTATCTTCTTTGGTGGAAAAAGTCTATTCAAACATTTTGCCCATTTTAAAAAAAAAATGGATGATTTCTTATTTGTTTTCAGAGATTTATATACATGTGCTTTGCAAATATCTTCAAGTCTATGGTTCATATTTATATTCTTATAACTGTTTTATGAAAACAGAATTTTTGAGTTTTTAAGATTATGCATTTAGGGTTGTATTTAAGAAATTGTTCTCTAGATCACAAATACTTTCTATATTTTCTTGTAAACATTTTTTTTTCTTTTTACTTTAATATTTAAGTCTATGATGATTTAAGTAAATTTATATAGTGTAAAACAGGGTTGAGATTGTTTTTTGGAGTTTTTTTTTTTTTGTCATTTTTTTTTTTTTTTGCATATGGGTATCAAATTGTGCCTGTGCTTTTACCATTTTTCCACTGAATTATTTGTATATCTGTGGTAAACCAACTGTATACAGATGAAAGGGTCTATTCTGGATTCTCTATTCTATTCCATACTGTCTTAACATATTTTAAAGTACCTTTATAATAAAGAGGTAATATGCAAATTGACCATCACTCCAACACACATCACTCCATCCCCATGTGGACATAAGATGCCCTGCAAGGGAGGGCAGTAGGGAGCAATCAGGCCTTCAGGGGAGGGCAGATAGGGGTGACCGGGCCAGCAGAGGAGGGTAGTTGGGGCGACTAGGTCGGCAGAGGAGGACAGTTGGGGGTGACCAGGCCTGCAGGGGAGGGCAGTTAGGAGTGACTGGACCAGAAGAGAAGGGCAGTTGGGGTCAAGTGGGCTTGCAGGGGAGCAGTTAGGCGTTGATCAGGCTAACTGGGGAGTGGTGATTAGACTGGCAGGCAGAAGCGGTTAGGGGCAATCAGGCAGGCAGGCAGGTGAGTGGTTAGGAGCCAGTGGTCCTGAATTGAGAGGGATGTCAGACGGCCCTCGAGGGGTCCCAGACTGGAGAGGGTGCAGGCTGGGCAGAGGGACACCCCCTGCCCCCGGTCCCCCGCCAAATGCATGAATTTCATGCACTGGGCCTCTAGTGTGTCATAAGGTTTGATAATACGTAGAATGATTCCTCTAACTTTTTCAAAATTTTTATTCCTTTGCTGTATTTTCATATAAATTTTAGAATCAGTTTCTCTATTTATACAAAAAGTTCTATTAAGATTTTTTTAAAAATATGTTTCATTGATTTTGTACAGAGAGGAAGGGAGAGAGATAGTTAGAAACATCCATGAGAGTCATCGATCAGCTGCCTCCTGCACAGCCCCTACTGGGGATATGCCCGCAACCAAGGTACATGCCCTTGACTGGTCCCCAAGCCTATGCTCTATCCATTGAGCCAACCCAGTTCCGGCTCTATTAAGATTTTTAATGGGACTGTGCCAAAATTGTAGATTAATTATGGAAAATTGCTATCTTTACTAAGATTTACTCTTCTAATTCATAACCACTATATTTCTATTAGGGTCTATTAATTTATTCTATAAAAATGTTACTTTTACCATTTAAATCCTGCACAAAGTGTTATACAATTTCTTTTCAAATACTATATGTAGTTTGAAACTCTAGTAGAAATTATGTAAAAAATTTTTAATTTCTTACTGATTTCTTACAAAAATATAGACATACAATTGATTTCTGTACATTGATCTTATTATGCTTGCAACCTAGCTAAAACTTCAGGCTTTTGAATTTTCTACATGGACAATGATATATAGTAAATATAATCTACTTTATTTGTTTATCCTATCATGTATGTCTATTTCTATTTCTTGCCTTACTGTACTGGGCAGGAACTATCCTAGTCTTGTTCCTACCTAATGGGGAAATAAATCATTCAGGTACCAGTAAGTGAAATGTCAACTATGGGATTTTTTTTTAAGAGCCATTTTTCAGGGACAGATAGTTCTATTCTTAGTTGTATAATGAAATGATGAATTCTGTCAAATGCTTTTATTCACATTAAGATAATCATGTACCTGTATAGCCGAAACCGGTTTGGCTCAGTGGATAGAGCGTCAGCCTGCGGACTCAAAGGTCCCGGGTTCGATTCTGGTAAAGGGCATGTGCCTTGGTTGCGGGCATATCCCCAGTAGGGGGTGTGACGGAGGCAGCTGATCGATGATTCTCTCTCATCGATGTTTCTAACTCTATCCCTCTCTCTTCCTCTCTGTAAAAACTCAATAAAATATATATTAAAAAAAAAAAAGATAATCATGTATAGTTTTCTTCTTTATATGTCCTGATGTGGTAAATTTAATTTTTAAATTTAAATTAACCTTGCATGCATGGCATAAATTGTATTTGATTATGATGTATTTATTAAAGGATTTGATCTGTTACTATTTTGTTGAGGACTTTTGGTTCTATGTTCATTATGGATGTTGTTTTTAATGTTTCCGAAATATTTCTGTCTGGTTTTAGTATGAGAACAATGCAATCCTCATGAAATGAGGGGAGATGTATTCCCCCACACCTCCTTTTGGATTTTTCTGAAGGGGTTGTGTAGCGCTGCTTTTATTTACTCCTGAAATGTCTGATAGATTCCCCAAGGAGAACAGTTCTCTTTATGAGAAGGTACGTTGTCAGATCTATAGACATAAAGTTGTTTTTGTTACTCTCTTATTATCCTTTAAATACCTGTCAGATATATTTAGTGATGTCTTCTTTTTCATTCTTAATATTGGTAACTTGTATTTTCGTTCTTTTCTGTCAGAATGGTTATATGTTAACACATTGTATTGATCTCTAATAACTAGGTGATTTCACTAATTCCACATTTTTCTCTTTTTAATTTCACTGATTTCTATCTTTCCTTTTGTTTACTTAGTTGGAGTACAATTTGCTCTTTGTTTTAGGTTCAAACAGATGTCTGTATTACTGATTTGAGGTGTTTCCCCTTTACTAATAGAAGAATTTCATGCTATTAGTAGCCTACTAATGCTTTTTGCTGTATCCCACAAATGTTGACGTATGGCATTTTTATTCACTTCACAATACTTTCTTGTAAGAAGCGGCTATAGAATTAAGCCTTGGATTGATCTGTGGCAGAGACATAAACAAGTCCCAGCTTAGAGGGCAGAGCCCTCTTAGTACAATTAAGCTTGACCTTATGGCCGCCCCCTTGTTCCTTCCTGGGTAGCTAATGGGCTGTAGGAGGTGCAGCAAGTGCTGCCCAAACAATGAAACTCACAAGAACATTGTAATTATAGTGACCACTACCTTGTTTACTTCTGGTTATAAAATAAAGCCTCAGCTTGCTGAGGATCCTTCTCTGTGGCCTCAGCCAGGCACAGGAGATCCACGGAGCCCCAGCTATGTTCTCTTTTGCCCGTCTTTTCTTTCATCTTTCACTGCCTCCACTCAGGCTCACTGAACCCTTGGCTGTGCTGGCCTGGCACACTTTCTAATTTTGATGTGAAATCTTGTTTGTATCATGAGTTATATATTTGGGGATTTTATAGATATAATAGAGGTATGGTGCACGAAATTCATGCATTGGGGATGTGGGGGAGGGGGGGATCAGGCCTAAATGGCTTTTGGACATCCCTCTCACAATCCAGGACTGCTGGCTCCCAAGTGATCGCCTGCCTGCCTTCCTGATTGCCGCTAACTGCTTCTTCCTACCAGCCTGATCGCTTCCTAACCACTCCCCTGCCAGCCTGACTGATGCCTAACTGCTTTCCTGTCAGCCTGTTATCCCCCAACTGCCCTCCCGTGCAGGCCTGTCACCCCCAATTGCCCTCCCCTGCAGGTCATCTTGTGTCCACATGGGGGCATCCATCTTGTATGTTAGAGCAACACTCAATTTGCATATTATTCTTTTATTAGATACAATTAGATAGGATAAAGGCCTGGTGTATGAGAGGAGGCTAGCTGGTTTGCCCTGAAGGGTGTCCCGGATCAGGTTGGGGATTCCCTTGGGGTGTGGGGTGGCCTGGGTGAGGGACCTGTGCTGGTCTGCAGGCCAGCCACACTCCCCGGTAACCCAAGCGAAGGCCCTGGTATCTGGGATTTATTTATCTTCCACAACTGAAGCTTTGTAGTTTGGAGCAGAGCCAAGGCTTCTGCTCACTCCATGGTGGCAGCATTTCCGTGGAGATTTATTTATCTTCTATAATTGAAACTTTGTAGCCTGAAACGGCCAGCCAGGGCTGCAGAAGCTTGGCTTCCTCCATGGCAGCCACCATTTTGTTGGGATTTATTTTATCTTCTATCATTGAAACTTTGTAGCCTTAAGTGGAGGCCTAAGCCGGCAAGGGCAAGTGGAAAGCTTGGCTTCCTCCATTGCTGGGGAAACCCAAGCCTCTCTCTGCTCGCCATGGCTGGAGCCAATTGGTTGAGTTTATTTGCATATTCACTCCTGATTGTCTGGTAGGTGTGGCTTGTGGGTGTAGCAGAGGTACAGTCAATTTGCATATTACTCTTTTATTCGATAGGGTTTATTTTGATATCTACATTCATTCCACTATCATCTAATGATGTATAGTAAATGATTTCAATGTTTTGAAATCTGTTAAAAATTACCTTAATGCCTAGAATATGTAATTAAAGAATGGGATATACTATTTGCCCATTTCAAGAGTAATTATTTTGGTATTATTTGGTGGTTCCTTTCTTTCAAGAGTCAAATACCATCCATGCATTGCCTCCCTGTTTTGTCATACTCTAAGGCCTTCAACATTGTTTTTAAAGTACAGGCATATGTCAAAGATATAGTAGGTTTGGTATCAATCCACAGCAATAAAATGAGTATCATCATAATGTAAGGCATAATCGATTTGCTGTTGAGGGTCTTGCCTTCAATTTTTAAAAACAAAATATCTGTGAAATGCAATAAATCAAAGTGCTATTAAACAAGGTATGCTTGATGTTTTGTCCAGAGTTTATCAATTGTATTGGTGAGCAACTTAAGTCTTTTATAATTTACCATTTTTTTCCTACTCAGTACTCTTAGACTTCTTGCAACACAAAATAAATCTGTTATTTTTAAATAAATGTGTGTTGAGTTTTTTGATCCTTGGAAGAAAAAAAAGAAAAATCCCAAGTCATGCATCTACATAGTAATTCACAATGCAATATAAGTTAGAATGCCAAGAATATGTATGGTGAAGAGTGGGGAATGCTACAAGTAAAATTAGTTTCTATTCAATTTTACCTTTTTAAAATTAAATTAGAAAACAATTTAACAGGGTGAGGGAACATATGTGGCTATTCTGTTTACTTATTAGTCAAGTGAAGAAATAAAAATATTATTACCTTTACACTCAGGAGGGTCACTACTCCATTTGTCTCGCCCAGAACATCTCAGTGTGCTATTTCCAACCAGGGAATATGGATCTGATCCACCGGAAGGCTTACAGCTGTAAGTGACTACTTCATTATATTCAAATGTATCCTTGTGGCTATTGGTGAATTCTCCATTTTGTATTTGTGGAGGTGGTTTACACAAAATCTCTTAAAAAGAGAAAAAAAAGGACAGGAAAGGCAAAAAAAAGATAAAAGATATAAAAGATTAAGACAGCATTGTAATGCCTTATGAACTGCCTTCAATAAATTTATTAACATATGATTTCTACAATCTAGTTGAATATTCAGTATCATTTGAATATAAAAATGACATTCAAACTGAAAAAATAAACTATGATCTTTTTCATCCATAAGAGTATGTAATGCAATTTGGCAAAGGTACAGATGGTGTGTTAATGCAACAGCCCAAATCCTGAGGTCTACAATGAAGCCACATATTGATAAGTTTGCAAACACATAAAACAATACCACTATCCTCACGTTTTTAAAAATCTTGGTTTTCCTTTTTAAAAAAAAATATATATATTTTATTGATTTTTTACAGAGAGGAAGGGAGAGGGAGAGCTAGAAACTTCGATGAGAGAGAATCATTGGTCAGCTGGCTCCTGCACACCGGTAACCAGGGATGTGCCCACAACCACGGTACATGCCCTTGACCGCAATTGAACCCGGGACCTTTCAGTCCACAGGCCGATGGTCTATCCACTAAGCCAAACCGGTTTCGGCGAAAATCTTTGTTTTCCTTAAAAAATATGTTGCATATACTAATATGTATTGTGCTTAATGTTCTTAATAAGTAATTATTTTTAAAACTTTTCAAGGATAATTCCGATATAATGGAATAGCAATAGCCATATCCCACCTGAAGAATAGCTATGTGAGGGTCTTTCAAAATGTAAAAGCATGAAGTCAAATCAAGGCCAAAAGTTTGAGAACTACTGATCTAAATTCTAAAGACATAGTATACTTACTGTTACACTGTGGGGGGTCACCACTCCAAGCCACTTCATTTCCAGAAAGTTCACAACGCAGAACTGAATTTCCAACTAAGTCATAACTGAGAAGAAAAAAAGATTACTATTGTGCTGTTTGTTTAACCAGTTAACATAATGCATACAATAATGAAGAAAAATTTTACATGGTTGTTTTTCTATAGTAGCTTTAGGGGAAAGTTTCTTAAATAGCCTATAATGAAAGTACTAACTAGCCGAAACCGGTTTGGCTCAATGGTAGAGCGTCGTTCTGCGGACTGAAAGATCCCGGGTTGGATTCCAGTCAAGGGCATGTACCTGGGTTGCGGGAACATCCCCAATAGGGGATGTGCAAGAGGCAGCTGATTGATGATTCTCTATCATCGATGTTTCTAACTCTCTATTCCTCTCTCTTTTGCTCTGTAAAAATATCATTAAAATATATTTAAGAAAAAACAAAAGAAAGTACTAACTAAATCTATAATTTAATGAAAGAGAGAGTTGCTGCAGTTGAGCACACACTGACCTACAGCACTGACCTATCTACACACTAGAGGACCGGTGCATGAGTGTGGGTGGGGGGGTCCTTTAGCCCGGCCTACACTCTCTCCATTCTGGGACCTCTCGGGGGATGTCTGACTGTCTGTTTATTAAAGCCTAATATGCTAAGTGTCTGGTCGACCTGTCGGTTGTTCAATCAAAGCATAATATGCTAATTATATGCTAAGGCCACTCAACCACTCAGTATGACATGCACTGACTACCAAGGGGCAGTCAACTGGTCAATCAGACTCTATGATGTGCACTGACCACCAGGGGACAGACGCTCCAACTGGTATGTTAGCTTGCTGCTGGGGTCCGGCCGAATGGGACTGAGCGAGAATGGTCGGACTCTTAGCATATTAGGCTTTTCTTATATAGCACTAGAGGCCCAATGCACAAACTCATGCACCAGTGGGGTCCCCTCATCTGGCCTGTGAGATTGGACTGAAAATGGCTCTCCAACATCTTCCCAGATTGCGAGAGGGCCAGGGAGGGATGCAGGAGGATGGCCAGCTAGAGAGGGACTGTGGGAGGGCTCTAGGACATGTCTGGCTCATCTCATTCAGTCCCAATCGGACAGAGCCCAGCAGCAAGTTAACCCATCGGTAGGAGTGTATTCCTCCTGATGGTCAGTGTACATCATAGCGACTGGTCAACTGTCTTCCCCAGTGGTCAGTGCACATGTCATAGTGAGCTGTTGAAAACCTTAACATATCATTAGCATACTTCTCTTTGATTGGTTGAATGGATGACCGGATGCTAGACATTTAACATATTAGGCTTTTATTATATAGGATAGCATTAAACAGTTCTGTTTACTTCAATGGAAATTCCTTTCTATTCATTACATATCTTTCCAGTCTCTATAAGAAGCTGAAGAGTTGACTGGCTATAAGTACAACTTCTCACACACAAAGCAAAATTAAATAAACATTATGAGAATACTTAGAAGAGAAGCAAAATAAAAACAGAGGTAGTAACATTTACCTATTTCCTCTACTTACCCCTCATTACAAAAATAGTTCATCTGTGAACCAAACTGAGTACTTCCTTCAACACGGCCATTTAAGGGGTCTCCTGGATGTGGACATGATTTTCCTGAAAGAAAATTTTGAAATTCATTGTTTTATACAAACTCCAAAACAGATCTGAAGTAAAACCAAAATTCTACATTGCTCCACTGTGGGAATACTACTTTTCTTTAATTATTAAAAGGCCAAACGTAAGATTCACATTTATCCAGACAACTAACAAGATTCACGACTATTTAAAACCTACATCCACGTGAGAAAACCATCACTGTAGTAGCAGAATATGCCGTCTAAAAGGTATGAGAATCTTTAGAACAGTAAAAATAAGGAGTTTTCTGTACTTACTTGTACAAATTTCCTGGAGAGGAGGTGCCCATGTGCCGTCAGCCTGACAAACAGTAGAGGTGGGACGAACAAGAGGCACAATAAGCCTGTATCCTGGGCGACACTCATATTCTGCTGTGAACCCAGCACTTACAGGGGCCTCAGGATTACCCTTGGGTTTCATAGAGACATATCTTGGTATCTCATCACAGGCATCTGGGCATGAGAGAATAAGACACGAAAGTCAAGTATTTTCTCTTTTTCAACTGCCACGGATTCTAGCAGGTCCTTGGAAAGCTTATGGTTTCTTGGGGACTAAGGTGAATACTCATTCAACAGTAAATTAGAGACAGCAGCAATAGTTTTGGTTTTAAAATATAGCGATAGGTGTGCTTCCTTCCTCAGTGTTTCTCAGTTCATTGCACGCTCACCTCTCCCCTAACACAACTTCTACAGTCTGTAACCCTAGATCAGAGTCCTCTTGCACAGTTTGAAATGCAAACTGATGGTGACTTGTCACTTCAGGCTCGGTCTCCTCTCAGGAGGCGGGTTCCTAGAGGTCAGGGTCATATGCCTTCTCTTCCCTGCTACACCCTGTCCCCAGTGGGTGCTCAAGAAATGCTATGGGTAGAGGTAATTATTATTTTTAAAAATATATATTTTTTATTTTTTACAGAAAGGGAGGAGGATAGAGAAAAAGGGAAGGGGATAGATGAGAGAGAAACATTGATGATCAGCTGCCTCCTGCAAACCTCCTACTGGGTATGTACCCGTAACCCAGGTACATGCCCTTGACCGGAATCAAACCTGGGACCTTTCAGTCTGCAGGTTGACACACTATCCACTGAGCCAAACCAGTCAGGGTGAGGAAATTATTATTTAAGTATTGTGGATTTCATAGATAGAAATAAACCATTTCAAAATATAAGACTTCATTTCATATAGGTGAAATGAGCATTCTTACGAGTAAACACCATTTAAAATCAAATTGTAGCCTGAACCGGTTTGGCTCAGTGCATAGAGTATCAGCCGCCACATTGAAGGGTCCCAGGTTTAATTCTGGTCAAGAGCATGTACCCTGGTTGCAGGAACATCCCCAGTACGGGCTGTGCAGGAGGGAGCTGATGGATGTTTCTCATCCATGTTTCTAACTCTCTATCCCTCTCCCCTCTTCTCTGTAAAAAATCAATAAAATATATTTAAAAAATAATAAAAATAAAATCAAATTGCATTACTTCGAACAACCTCACATGAAAAAAATTCTTTCTTAACATAACTTTACACAATGGACTCTTGAACAAAGCGGCAGTTCGGTTCAGGGGTTCCCACACAGATGAAAATCCGCAGGTGACTTGTGAATTCCCCAAAACTAAGTAGAGTGTTTCCTCCGTATCAGTGGGGGATGGGTGCCAGGACACCCCATGGATACAAAAACCCCTGCATGCTGGTCGCCTATAGAAAGCGGTGAACAATGCCTACAGTGTGCCTTCTGCGTTGTCGGATTCCCAATTGCAGATGGATAATACTGTTGGTTGTTTCCAGGGACGTGAAACCTAGATACCAGCAGCTCCCATATATTTATAGGAACAAATGCAGGCTTAAGTGAATTTGGGCAGGGCAAACCAATGTTGTTCAAGGGTCAACAGTAATTTAACCTTCCTTCACAGATCAATGGATCATACATAACCTCAGAAGCTAGCTCCCTGAGGTAGCTGTATGGGCTGTGTATCTGATATATCCCTAATGCTTTCACAACTTTTTACCTCTGATATTTTTGGAGGTGGGTTAGTTTTCACTCCTTTGTCATTTCTACTTAAGCAATTTGCCTTCCTGTAAATTATCTGTGGGCTGGAAAACCTAACAAATTTCTTAGAACAATTACATACAATAGTGTGATGGAGACACATCAAGTAAAGCCCTAAAAGGCTAAAAGAATGCAGAGGCCTCTCCTATAAAGGTTAAGGGACTAAAGTACATCTATTTTGCTCCCTAAGGAATCTTTCCTCCTTTCCTCCCTGAATCTTGGTCTTATTTCAGACTCACAGATCCGTAAAGAGAACTCTAAACACGTGAAATTTTACTCTTCTTTCTTATCATATTCTAAATTGTAAAACTCTATATATACCCAGTCCAACATTTCATTTCCATCATCCACCTACTGGCAAATGTTTTCAACATTTCCACTATGCTGCCCTTGATATCCATGTTCCTCACTCAACTGCTCAAAACAAATGCAAAAAGCAAAGTCCCTAGTAATTAAAAGCACTGTTTCACATAACAATGCTTTTTATTGATAAACTAGAGGTCCAATGCATGAAATTCGTGCAAGAGTAGTCCCCCCACACCCTTCCCCCTGGCACCCGGGACCCAGGATTCTCTCACAGCCCTGGCTTTGTCCAGAAGGACATCTGGTCTAATTAGCATATTACGCTTTTATTATTATAGATAACGTTACATTTACTGAATACCCTGAGCTAGATATTGTCATTTTCTTTTCTTTTTTTTAAATATATTTTTATTGATTTTACACAGAGAGGAATTGAGAGGGACAGAGAGTTAGAAACGTCGATGAGAGAGAAACATCGACCAGCTGCCTCTTGCACACCCCCCACTGGGGATGTGCCCGCAAACAAGGTGCATGCCCTTGACCGGAATCGAACCCGGGACCTTTCAGTCCGCAGGCCGACGCTCTATCCACTGAGCCAAACCGGTCCCGGCGATATTGTCATTTTCAATAGGGAAACAAACATAGGCTAGAAATTCTATACAATTCTGTTCAGATACAAACGCACAACATCATTCTAGAATTTCCTGGAACCAGCACAAAAGAAATCATTTAACATTATGATTTAATTCCCACAATTAAATTATATAAGTGTCCTTTGTTTTATGCATTCAATCTCAGTAACTATCTTGAAAGCAGATAAAGGAGAGTGGATTCCTAATATGGCTTTCACATGTAGTGTCTATATGGAAAAGTCAATAAGATAGTTTAATCCATTCAACTAACTTGAAGTATTTCTTCCCACTAACATGCAGCATGAAAGACATGCTTCCACCAATGTGCATGTCAATGTACGGCAACCAGTTGATCACAAGTATATATACTGCAATAATTAAATGCAATACCACATATTTTAACAAGCAAATTTCTTCCTTTGCTCAGAACACTGAATTTTTTCCCTATGCTAAAGTTTAAACTAAACATTCTAGGACCCAGAAAAATATCAGCACCTTGGCTTAGTATTTTCTAGATAGTTTAAATATAATTATTATTTGGCTGCAATGCTACGTTTTAGCATAGATGACATTAAGGAAGATGATGTTCTGCATTCAGAAAACTCGCCAATGTTCCAGATGGGTTTCGGGAAAATAAAAACGTTTTCTGCTATAGATCAAGAGAACTGCTCGCCGAAACCGGTTTGGCTCAGTGGATAGAGCATCAGACTGTGGACTGAAGGGTCCTGGGTTCGATTCCGATCAAGGGCATGTGCCTTGGTTGCTGGCACATCCCCAGTAGGGGGTGTGCAAGAGGCAGCTGATCGATGATTCTCCCTCATCGATGTTTCTAACTCTCTATCCCTCTGTCTTCCTCTCTGTAAAAAAATCAATAAAATGTTTAAAAAAAAAAAAAAAAAAAAAAGAGAGAGAGAGAGAACTGCTCACCTTTTCTACACTTGCCAAAATTGGGTAAGCACTCTCTCCCTTGCTTGCAAAAATTAAAATCACTTTCTGACACAGCCCTGCCCAGACTGGTGCCTTCAGAAAATCATGGTGTCTCACCAAACAGGAACCCAGTGAAACCTGACAATCCTGCTCCTCCTCCCACTGTCTACACAGCACCTTATTTTTAAACTTTCTTTGCTTCCCAAAATGCACCTACACCTGCCAATTTTATTTCTCACTGCCTCATTTGTAGGCCTACGAGAATCACTAAGTTACTTTCAAAGTCATTAAGTGACCTTGTTTTTCAGTGACTCCTAACCCTTTCGTCCTCAGTAGTTTAAGTTGCTCCCTCTGGAACATCTGGTGCTACTAGTCACTGTCTAACTGAAAAGTTCTCTTTGGTTCCCAGGACAGCACGACCACCTGGCTTTCAGCTTGTCCTCTGACTGCTCTCTCTTCTCTGCCTGATTGGATCATGTGGCGTTTCGAATAGGCAGTTCTAGGAACTCTTGTTATTTCATTCTTCAGACTCCCCTGGGCGGGTAGATATACTCCCATGACTTCATTGCCCCTAAAAAGAGCTACCTCTCAAATACCTCCCCATCCTAGATGTCTGGCTGGGGTGCTAACCTATATGTATAATTGCTACCCTGCTCAGATCCCCTTGGAAAGTGGCATGCCGTCTCAAATAACATAATGAATGTGCTCTATTGATTCTTCACAGGCATACCAAGCAAACTAGTTAAATTGTTTCCACAACTGAATGCCTGTTCATCCTCTAGTTCTATCCTTACTTCCACAGCCACTATCATTTATCTGGATTGTGACCAGAGTTTCTGGATTGGTCTCCTTATCTACTTTGGCACTATTCACTCAATTCATTTTTCATATTGTTACCGGAGTAATATTGATATGACACAGTGACCAAGGACCTACCAAGTCAGGTATTTTGCAATGGATCCCCAATGCCCTCAGGATAATGTCTAAGGCTCCTTGGCATGGATAACAGACTTAAAATCTGCCACTATGTCACTCCCGCTTTCTCTTGCACACTATTGTCAAGCTATAGCCAATCCCTTGTGGTGCCCATTAAGTTACTTTAGCACTGTAGGCCTCCATGCATTATTTTACTTCAGTTTTGACCAGTGGCCCTATCCTTCTTCCAAATCCATGCATCCTTCAGTGGCATCGTAGATGCCAATTCTTCTTTGAGGCTCTTGATATCTGTCAAAATACTGGGATGTCATCATGATACCCCAAAATACTTTTCATATTATAATTCTTTATTATCCTTATTCCCCTCAAGACTGTCTCATTGATCACCGCATTTCTGGTACCCAGAACCAGAGCTGAATAAGCATAGTTATCAGATCTATACACTGTTAGGCCAAAATTACATTCTTTATTGTTCAGCAAGCTTGTTCCAGAGATATCTGCAAAGCATAATTTTCTTCAGCCTAATTTTTTTCTTCAGGTTCTGCCTTTATTCAAAGCTTTTTTCTTCTTCTATTGGTTTAGTTATATTTATTTCCCTTTACTAGTATTTTAAA